TCCACTCTGTGCCGCAGAGCGTGAGTCAAGATTTGTTGACTGATTCACTCAAGCAGTGAGTAGTGGCTATAGAAGGATCAATGAGGCAGGAACAGGGAAAACAGAGAGTCAGGGTATCCAGATTGTAAGAAAGCCTTCGTTCATAGTGTATACTTCTCTTTTCACTTGAAAAACCAAGCATAGAAGTCTGGTTGTATTCACTGGCTGTGGTGAACACTTAACAGCCATCCCAGAGACAAGTCCACTGGCAGTCAATCAAGGTTTTGTCTTGGCCACTTAGATCCCAAACAGCTGTCCAGGTCTAATTAATATTCTGCAATTATATCTGGAGAGGAGCCAGTCTCAGAGACAGGTGTCTAAATGAAAGATGATCTCGGACTGTCCCTGTGCATAACCTGTCTGGGTCTGGTGGGACAGGCTTAAACTTATCCAGTGATGTGAACTATTATTTCACAAAATTCACTCGGTCTGGGCTTCCTGCATATGTGTTGCGGTGCCTACTCTGTCTGCTGGCATTCATTTTGCAGTGAGATCCTCGCTTTGACTCTGTGAAGTTTGGGCTTAAGATTTTAGGCAGTACTCATGCCTTGTCTAGAACCTCACACAAAGCAGTGATACCCACAGCACTGATTGTTACGGTGCCACACGTCACGGCTCCTTTAAGGGGATCAGCAAGCGAAGGCTACAAGGATTCAAACTGGGGCTTACTCTCTGCTCCACTGGGAGAGTCAATGACAATTATCATTAATTCTTGGATTCCTTCAGTTCTGATAGAAAAATCAAGTTATCAGAAACTATCATTTTGAGATCAGACAGCTATTAAAAGCCCATTAATAATCTTCTGGTGAGTAGAGCATATGCCTTTTGAGAACATTTGCAACTTGCTTCTCTGTGGAAAGACACAGGACATCGCCAACCTAATTATAAAGCAATCAAACAATTTAATTAATCTGGAAATCACTTTCTTAACAATAACCTCCCCTAAAAAGAGGCACCCTGCACAGCGCCATTAGGTAAAGTATGTTTTTGATACACTGCTGCGCATCAGCCATGCCAGGGCCCCGTGGGGATCATGGTGTTAATTACCTACCTGACGCCTGACCACTGCTAAGGCTGCTCAGTGAGGTCAGAAACATCGGCGGTGATACCAGCAGTCAGTAAAGTGTCCTAGCACTCAACCATCCAAAGCAAGCCAGTCTCTGGGAGCAGGGAGATTTGAGTTATAAGCAAGTGCTGCACATATGGGCAGAGAATTAACTGGCACCGGTTTTCATTTGAGAGTCTCCTAGGTATTGCTTTGCAGATGGGTGGATGAATTTGGAGAGCTGTGCTATAGGAGTGAAGGTCATGTGTAGGACTCTGGTTTCTGCCCCCTCTTGATGCCATCCTGGGCGAGTGCCGCACATACACACCACAGGCAAGTTCTCAGCTCTGAGTTCGGAATCTCCCAGGTGTGCTTTGTAGCTGGATCTGTTCTACTTTAATGGTATTTTGATCCCTATATAGCACAATAGTGGTGGGAAGTCTTCAGGGGCCAAGTAGAAATCCATTTTTACTTCAAATGAGAACAAAGCCTTCAAAAATTGACTTCTGTCTGTCTAATCTGCTAACGTTTGAATTTCCCCCTAAGGAAGGAGGAGGAATTGTTTGCAGTAAGCGACATGAGACGCTGCAGAATGCTCGTTTGCCCTTCTCTATTACCAACTGCAGCCCTGTCCACTTGGCTGGAAAGTCCCTGCCCATGGGTCATTCTTCCTGTCCACCCACCGTGGAAACATCAGTCACTTTTAGTCTTTTCCTTTTTCCTCCCTTTATTTCTATGATTGCAAATATGCCTGGTTTGCTTGCCTGAGACTCCCTTCTACCTGCCTCCCTGTCCTAATCTGGTGCTGTCTACTCTTACCAGGCACACGCGTGGCAGGTGAAAACTTCTGGCTTCTTTCTCTAGCCTCTGAACACCCCTGAAGGCCTCCCAGTAGTGGGTACCAAACCATTCACAGCTCATTGGCTTGACCAGTCTGAATTCCTTCAGACAGAAGGCCTTTTGCTGTGGCATTGTCCTGCTATGTTTCAGTTCTTCCTGACCCCTTCCAGAAGCCCCCTTCTAGTTCTCCTCTCCTCTAAAGCTTACTGGAACCTGCCCTGTGGAAGTATGGTCTCTTGTCCTTTAGGAATTATGAGGTACTCACACATTTTCTCTAGTATCTCGTGACACTTGAGAGCCTTAATATAACTACGTGATACATATGATACATAATATGTACACTGCAGAGCAGTGCTTTCGTCTAGGATGTAACTGCATATGCAGTGGTGGTCCCATAAGGTTATATCATCTGGACACTGTAGCCCTCTTAGTTTGCTTAAGTACACTGTGTGTGTTTTATACAGTGATGAAGTCACCGAATAATAAGGGATCTCAGAACACCCCCAAGCCAGGACTGCAAATGTATATATGTATATTTTCATTTCTTTACAAATTTCAAAAATTCATTTTATTTATTTGAAAGGCAGAGAGAGAAAGAGAGAGAGCGAGAGAGATCTCCTACTCACTGGTTCATTCCCCCTAATGCCCACAACCCCTAGAGCTGGTCCAGGCCAAAACCAGTAGTCCAGGACTCAATCGAGGCTCCCATTTGGGTCACAGAGCCATCGCCTGCTGCCTCCCAAGGTTCACATTAGCAGGAAGCTGGAATGAGAGGTAGAGTGGGACTCAAACCCCGGCACTCTGATATGGGATGCAGGTATCCCGGATGGTGTCTTCGACACTGCACCAAACTGCATTTGCATTTCAACTTAGCTTTTCAATCTGACATGAAACAAGAAAGACCCTTGGTTATTATGATAACACAGATGACTGTGTAGTCTTGACCTTGAAGATGTTTTTACAGCAGTGGATGCAAAGAAGAATATTCTACAATTGAAGGGCCTGGACAGTCAATCCAAGATAGGGAGGTGAAAATCTGCACAATAGTTAATGGAAGCGTTGATTTTTTTTTCTAAGAGCACAATCCTCAAGGTGATAGGTCACCATGTGTTGTGTTACCTGACTTCCCAGACCACTCCTTAAAATCTCTAAAAGTGAAAAGGGTTTAATTTAATGCCTTGTTTCTAGCTTCTTGAGATTGAAGAAATAGTTAATAAGCTCCCCAATTATGCTGATTGGTTGCATTAGAACCTCCAGAGATGGTGTCCTCTTAACAGTAAACACAGGTCTAAGAATTTAGTGCCAGGTTTCACTGAGTTTGTTCATTTTGAGTGTGTTAAGGTAGCAGGGATTGTTGTGAAAAAGGCTTCCCTTGGAATAATCACTTGTTTTCTCCCTCCTAATAATTTACATGTAGTTTGCATTCTGTGGTGTGTGAGCAGCATAAACATTCATTCCAAATAAGAAACAAAATTTATAAGATTTCTGATGTTAGATTTTTCCCATCAGGAAACAAAACTTTTTAGATGCTTTGAAATATTGGAGCTCTTTTATGGACTATGCAGAGTAACGTAGACGCCAAGTTAGGAGTGTGGGGAGCGGGGCCGGGGGGGATGCGGCTGTTGAGTAAAGTTGAAAGAACTTAATTTGCTGTGTAGATTAAATGGACAAAGTGAATCGTGGGCTGCCGGATGGCAAAAGCAGAATCCGTTTCTCCAGGGGCTCAGGGAACAACAGATGCAAAGGCATGATAAATTTCACTGCAGCAGGGGGATGAGTGCCTCTTGGTTCTCCGTCCATCAAGAAATGGGCTGCTCAGCACTTGCCTAGTAAATGGCTTTGATTGTGCCGTCATAAAGTTAATGGCATCTGTTGAAGACATCACTATGAAATTTGCAGCCTTCACTTAATTGAAAAATGTCTGTAGAGATGTAGCCCATGCAGAACTCCTCAAGGTAACACTAAACTTAGCCTCTTGAATAGGTTCCTCTCTTCTTTGTGCACAGTGGTCATAAATTGCTTACCTTTACAGCCAGGTAGTGGCTTCCAGGAGATCCCTTGCATTTTTTGTAACTAACTGCAATAGTCAGTTCCACTAGGAAACTAGTGGTGTGGTAACTGGCTTGCTGTTAGGAGCGAAGCACCGCTTCCTGATTTATTTTCCGTTTTGCAAGAAGGTACAGGGTAACTTGGCAGCCTTCGCTGTCTCGCCTCTTTATTCAAACCAGCTGCAGGCGTCAGTGGTCCTCAGACAGTTCCGCCAATCTTATGCAGCAGTGTGGAGGGAGGTACGGCGGTCTGGAGTGTCCTGATCCTGCCCTCGCCAGCTGCCTGCCCAGCTTTCTCAGTGATCAGCGGCAGGCTGACTGCGCTAATGGAGAAAGTGACAAGCCCCGGAGGGGCTGCCCTCCCTCTTTGAAGCACTTGGTGAGACACACTCTGCCAGGCTCTGTGTGGCTGTGGCATTCAGGAGCCGCCTGGCCAGTGGCTGTCCAGCTGCTGCAGAGCAGGGAGCCTGTTGAAGGAAATATTGACAAGGGGAAAAAGGGCTGGGCCCCTCCAGCTGTGCTAAGATAAGATGGATCTGGGTCATCTTCCTAGTTCAGATGCACCTGCCCTGAAAGTGTGTATTTCGGAATACAAGGGCTTGTTTTTCAGCGCTCAGGCCTTTATTCAGTCTGCTTTAAATTAAACCACTAAGGCTGCTTCCCCAAAACAGACAGCACCCCCAGCTGGAACCTGTCTCTCTACCCGTGGTGTTTCTGGAAACGTTCGCAACAGGAGGGTCAAAACCAAGACATTCGTGTGTGCGTTATTCTATGGAACTGGAATATTTAGATGTTAAACATGTGGAGGGCCATTGGTGAGTGCATTTTTGCATAGATCCAGCACACTCGGGAAGCTGTGTTGGAACTCAGGCTCCCTCCTCACCCCAAATCCCTACTCCAGGTAAGGCCAGCACGCTCTTGGAGGAGAAATGTAAGGAAGCCCATGACTCAGGAGAGGATGATCCGGGATGCGGATGATGATGCCAAGCCCAAATCAGCTTGTAATGTTTTCTCCTTTCTCTCTGCAGGAAACAGCCCTCAAGATAGTCCAAGGAATTTCTCCCCCAGTGCCTCAGCCCACTTTTCATTTGCACGGAGGTAAGACTTTCTTGTGAGTGGAGAAGTAACGTGTGACATGGAGGGTCCCCGTCCCCAACCCCTCTCTCAGCCTACCTGCCTTCTGCCTTGTGAGGTCCTGCTCACTACATTCTGGTAAGAGCTTCTCAGAGGTTCCTTAGGCTGCCTCGGAATCATGCTACAGGGCACCTGCTCCCACAGCTTCCATAATGAGCTATGCCCCAGGGTGGCATTCGGTGCCCTCTCATGGCCTTTCACTAGATAGCGAATGCCCACCGAGAGCACGAAATCATCTTCTCTTCCGCCCCTAGCGCAGCGCCTTGTCCATGCTTGGTGCTCAGTAGAGTCTTGCTCAGTGAGCTGCACTTACAGACACTCAGTTCATCTGTGTCCTAATGCAGTCGTTTAGCTGTTGCAATGCTTTTCTATAGAAAGGGCTTTCTCGTGAGCTCAAGGACGGGAACCTGAGATGTCCTTGTATTTGAGAGCTTCAGGGCAGAAGTTTAGTCACCCCTTCTGACAAAGCCACGCTCAGACGGGAGGGTGCCTTGTGTCTTCTCTTCCAGTCCTGTTTAGAATCAGGCACCAAATGTCACAGATGCATGTCTTGGCGCCTGAGTCATGGTGTCAGGAGGAAGTGGTATTGCCCAGAATGGCCTCATCATCTGGCCTTTTGAGTTAGGGATCTGCCACTGGGATTTGGCCCCTCGGTCAGCTCTTTCTTCTACGTTCTGTAGGTGGAATGGGTGCACTGCACCTTGTAACATTCAAATTTGTACCCTCAGGGTCCCTTCCCGCCTCTCACATCTGTATCGTGTGTACCTGTGCCCAGGAAAAACATAGAGAATGAGAAATGCCCCTTCTGCCCAGTCTCTGAATATTTAGGATAAATTTGGCATATGGTCTCAATGGCCTTGATGCTAGCTCAATTCCCCTCTGAGACTTATTATACCCTAAGTGGACTAAGGTAACCCCTCATGAAGATACTTGGGAGGGTTAAAAAATATAATTGTTTGTACCAACAAAGCTTACAATGTCCTCCCAAGCTTTGGTCAACATTTTACACCACGAAATCTAGAGCAAAGGACGTTAGCAGTGTTTTCAGAATTCTGTACAACTAAGGTGCTATGGTAAGCCTCACACCATAAAGAGATGCTTGCTCTCTGATTAGTTAGGCATATCCCATCCAGTTTCTCGGTACACAGTGTGTACCCCACTCTGGGAAGGATATAAAAGTGATTAAGATGTCATTGCCTGGGAGCTTATTGAAACTCACACTCTGTTCTTCCCACAATTCGGAATTTTATCCTTTTAGCTCCTCATTTTAAGTACTATCAAGAAAGTATGACTATGAACTGATCCCATAAAGTCTGTGCCTAGTGAATGTTGGTTTCTGATGGTGCTACTATTGGAGGTGGAAAAATAAGCCTGTAAAACTTGGTAAACAAGTATCCATCACCATCTTTAAAGCATATCTCTAGGATCCCACATTCTGGCACGGTGGGTTAAACAGCCCCCTGCTAAGCCAGCATCCTATTTCTGAGCACAGGTTCAAATCCCAGCTGCTCCACTTTTAATAGAGCTCCCTGCAAATGCACCTGGGAAGGCAGCAGATGATGGCACAGTACACAGGCTCCTGCCACCCATGTGAGATAACTGGATAGAGTTGGGGGCTCCTGGTCTCGGTCTGGTCCAGCCCTGGCTGTTAGAGTCATTGTGGAGTGACCAGTGGATGGAAGATCTCTTTCTGACTGACTTTCTTTTTTTTTTTCTTTTTTTTTTTTTTTTGACAGGCAGAGTGGACAGTGAGAGAGAGACAGAGATAAAGGTCTTCCTTTGCCGTTGGTTTATCCTCCAATGGCCGCTGCGGCCGGCATCTGTGGCCGGTGCACCGCGCGGATCCGATGGCAGGAGCCAGGTACTTATCCTGGTCTCCCATGCGGTGCAGGACCCAAGCACTTGGGCCATCCTCCACTGCACTCCCTGGCCACAGCAGAGAACTGGCCTGGAAGAGGGGCAACCGGGACAGAATCCGGCGCCCCGACCGGGACTAGAGCGCCGGCCTCTTAGAGATTTTTAAAAAGATTTATTGAAAGGCAGAGTGATGGAGACAGAAAGTCAGAAATGGCCGGCGCTGCGGCTCACTAGGCTAATCCTCCGCCTTGCGGCGCCGGCACACCAGGTTCTAGTCCCGGTCGGGGCGCCGGATTCTGTCCCGGTTGCCCCTCTTCCAGGCCAGCTCTCTGCTGTGGCCCGGAAGTGCAGTGGAGGATGGCTTGGGCCCTGCACCCCATGGGAGACCAGGAGAAGCACCTGGCTCCTGCCTTCAGATCAGTGCGGTACGCCGGCCGCAGCGGCCATTGGAGGGTGAACCAACGGCAAAGGAAGACCTTTCTCTCTCTCTCTCTCTCTCTCACTGCCCACTCTGCCTGTCAAAAAAAAAAAAAATCTCTAAGAGGCACGCTTTTAATTAATAAGAAAAAAATGCACATCTCGTTATAGCATGCATTTACACATGACAGAAATCATAGTATCTTAATCCTGCCAGAAATATAAAAATGAAGAGAATCCAATAATTAAGTGGGTGACTGAAGGACAGATTAATCTGATTTCTGTGCTTCAAAAAAAAAAAAAAAAAGCCACAAACAACACAGAGGCATGTTAATTCTTCACAAATAAACCACATACCATGACGAGCGATTATCACTGGAGACCTGTGGTTCACTTTGCATGCATTTCCAGATGGAGCGCCCTCCACACTCTTCAGAAAGTATTAATTTAGATTAGGCCGTGAGTGATCCTCTTTTACAACTCTTATTGGAGTAAACAGAACCTTGTGTGACTTACAAAAATTCACATTGGTATTTTTCATTTAATATCTCTTGGATGTTAGACTTGATCTTCCTTTGGAAAACACAGAGCCTCTCCAGTCCTCTCCATTTGGGGTGCATCTCTAAGCCCTAAAAAAGTGGGCCACTTGCAGACTCCCCCACATTTTACCCTTTTGCACATTTAGTCCAGGAGAGGACGTAGTACTGTATTTTGGACCTTGTTTTTGGGTGAAGTGGGTAAGGTGAGGCTTGTTCATCTTTTCTGATCTTATTATCCCACCTTCCCAGCAGACCTTGCTGGGCGTCTAACAGACCAATTACAGGGTGTGAAGTGCACGTGCCTTCCATATTTTCTAATAGAGATTCAAGATTAAAATTATCAAGTTGCTTTTTTCAACGGGGAAGATTCAAAATTTTTCATGGTAAAATTGAATTAGGATATGATGCATATTTTCCATGAACTTTTGAAGTTCCCTAGTGTTAGATTACAAGAAACGGACAAAAATAAGCATCAGCTTAGCATAGATTTTTCTCTGGAACAAGGAGACATTTTTGCATTGCTAATTGTAGTACTATTTCCAGTCCATTGATTATGGAGTTGCTTAATAATTTTTCCCTGGTGGTAAGCTAAAGATCTAAAGGAATCTGCCTTCCCCAGAAGTTGCCAAGATTTAAAATTATACATTGCTTTCTCCTTCCTTGGCAATATAGAGCCCTTGAATGAATGCCATGGGTCTCTCTTAGTTACCTCATTGTTGTTTGTGAGGTTAAATCCTCAAGCAAACAACAAGAACAGACTTGCTTACTGAATTCAGGTCATCACCTGCTTACTGAGTGCTGGTGGGCAGAACGACCTCCCAGGGACTCTTCCACTATTCCTCCTAGAGCGGACTTTAGTTGGCCACATTCCCCTGCTTTGATATGGCTCAGCTTGTTCCAGCATCAACTAGAACATACACCATGTCACACCAGGTGACCATCGCAAGTAAAAAGAAACCTGCACTCTTCCTACAGTTTTAATGGCAAGGTTGATGTTAGAACGTTCATGCTTTCTTTGTTGTATACTGTACTAATTAAATATTTAAAGTAGTTTTGGGATATTTTCTGTTAGTCTTGTGTTCTCTGTTCCCCTCAGATGTTTTCCCTTCTCAAATTTTCACTTAATGGTAACATTGAGATTCCACCCTCAAGGAAAACACTCTCTTCAAAAAAAGCCTTGTTGTCTTGGCAAAGAAGGTAGTCTTGTCTTCAGATAACATTTTGTTGGTAGCTACTGCAAAGAAAAGACAACATTGTTAGTGGGATCCAAATTGCACTTGTGTGATAGCTTCCTTGAAAAAAATGGCCTGTTCTCTGCTAAGCACTGTATGTAGCATATATCGCAGCTTTGATGTGCGGTTGTCATGGTAATGAAGACGCAGTGGTCCCTTGGCTCCCTTTGAGTAAATAGACACGGGCAACTTAGGGGACTTTATGAGACATAGCTTATTTCTGGTCGTGGTTCTACAGAGTAGTGAACACATTCTTGTTTAAACATCTTTCCAGTTGTGTGTTTTCCAGACTGAGCAAATGTAATTTATGCTTTGGAACTAATAAGAACATGGTCTCCTCTTGGAATTGTTCATTCTTCTGAAATATGTTCACTGCTACCTGAGGGAAAGGAGAGTTAATGAATCACAAAGCAAAATCATGGTAGAGAAAATTGTCTCTCACTCTTTCCACAGACAAGTTTCCTATAATTGCTATTAAATGGACTGAATAATTCTTTTAAAATCATATCCTTTTCTTTTCCAAATTGGAAGTGTTTAAAACATAAAGTACAGGCATAGATTTTTTAAAGTCTTCAATAAGTAACCAAATAAAATAGGATCGACTTTTTTTTTCCATTTAATGGGGAGTTGGATATCTTTATAAGCACGACACGGTAATTATTTTTCTTATATTTTATTACTTTCAACTGTATAGAAATATTTTCTAGAACATATAACTTGGTTTTCCCAATTCCTTTTATCTTGTATATTTACATACGTCTTATTTTGCCCCCCCCCTTTTTTTTTAAAACATACTTGGTTCAATTGTACTCCAATCATGGTCACAGAAATGACAGGTAAATTTTACTGAAATCTTACTGTTGTAATAGTTCTGTGATATGTCCACTGAAATTTCTCCATTTTGTCTTTGTGGACCATTGCATTTGCTGGCAGTAGAACATATGGTAACCTATGGTTATGTTTTCCCTTGAATATAAATATAGGCTAAAATGTCAGTTTTCTACATGAACATCTAATTGTGACTTCGCAAATTCAAGCTGTTGAATTCCCTGACTTCCACCTACAGGGAATGCAGCTCCAGCACTTTTTGTCCATTCTTGTCTCTCACTTGGTAAATGTACATAATCATGAATTACAAAGTGTCCTCCTGTGATACTGCCTCTAAGAATGTCGTGCGAAGGCACTTCAGAAAGTTCATGGAAAAACAGAACTAAACAACAATGCCCGTGTTCGTGAACTTTTGAAGACTCCTGATGTGGGTCCTTCAGAAAGTGCGCTTTTCCTGTGTTGACTCTTGGCGAATTTGCATGTATTTGTTTTCACAGTGTTTTAGTTTTATGTGAAATCGCTCATAAGGTGACAGCTCTGGAGTCCCTGGGATCTCCTTGCCTCAGTAGCCGTATTGTCTGTCACTGCATTAAGTCTTCTGACACCCTTGTAACCAGAGACCCACTCCAAAGCTAGCATCCTCTCACCGTTTAGAGACGCAAACTGCCCCTTCACGGCTTCTGGCAGCGCTGCCTCTAGGAGCTGGGCAGATAACTTCACTGGTGGAGAATTTTTCATGCTGCTCCTGGCATCACTAGTGGTGAGAGCTGGGCTACATGCTCAGAATCTCTGCGAGAGGCTTTTGATGCGACTTTATAAAGCCAGGTCGCGCTGGAAGGCAGTAACTCTTAAGGGATTCTGAGCGTGAGGTCAGTCACTTTCTTAGTGCTCAAGTTATTTGCCACTTAGGGCCTGAGCCAGGCAGCCATGAGCCAGTTGACCCTTTTCTCCCTAGGAGTGCGGAGCAGAAGTGTTTCCTTCAGAATAATAAGCAGAAAGTGTTTAGGAGGCAAGGAAAGTCCACGGGCTCCTGTCTCAGGCTGGAATTCAGACCCTGGAGCCTAGAGATCCTGGGCCCGGGATATCCACATTCCCCGATGAGAGTGTCTTTCCTCCTCCCTTTCTGTTTTTATTCATTTGAATCTGCTGAGTCTGACCGTTGTAATTATCCCTGGTATTCATTTTGTCAAAGTGTATTAGTGAGAGATCAATAATATGGATCAACCCATTCACTTTCTGCTTGTTTGGGTGTATCGATTCAGTTTAAATAAAAGTCAACCTGCTGTATAATGTTTGTTTACCCTGGCCCTGGCTGAACATTTCCACACCCTCACAGACTATGTGGTGTCATTTGTTTGAATAAAAATCCTCAGTTTCCCTGGGGTTCCCCTGTAACAGTACTCCAGGGCTGGCCTGAGCTAAACTCACTTTCTCAATAGGACTGACGGACGCCGCTGGTCACTGGCTTCTCTCCCCTCCTCTGGCTATGGGACCAACACCCCCAGCTCCACCGTCTCTGTAAGTGCCTGGATTTTTTTTTTCCCGCTGTCTTACAACCACAGAGCTTTTACACAGGCAGTGTTTTCTCTGGGTGTTGCCTGGTAGCAAGAAGAAGATAAATTCTGCACGTCTGCCACCCAGAATGGGTTATGCATCAAATGATGGTCTGACAAACATAGCAAGGACACCCTTGTGCTGCAGGCTTTTAAACCATGGGGCATTAATTGAGGAAGTCCCAGGATCACAAGTTTGGAGGACATTGGGAGCTTTCATTTTAATGCCATTTGGCGTAGTTTGGGCGAAAGAACACAATCTGGCTTTATTGCTCTGGTTCCATGCCAGTGAAAGCAGTGCTGAAAAGGCTATTAAACTGTGACGGGCTGGGGCTTTTTTCTTGTATGGCTTAGATCGAGATTTGTTTTGTCTTCTCCTTCAAAGAATAATAATAAAAAAACATTCAAGTCTTAAATTTCTCTGTGCCTTCTAGGTTAAGACCTTTTAAGACAGATTAAAAGAGCTTAGAAGAAAGTGAAGATAATAAAGAGACAAGGTGGAACCATGAAAATGGGATACGGGAACAAGTATACCATTGCCCCACACTATAGCATTTTAGCAAGGGGCCTAGTTGGATAAATGCTCTCTTGATTTACATCAGTGTTGTTGTGGGATATCGGGACAGGTGGTCATTAGAAAGGCCAGGGTGTTATAGGTGTTCAATAAATGTCCAACGAAATGGTTTGGATGTTCTTGGACGGGATAGGAGCGTGGGTCTGTGAATCTAGACCCCGTTGGATTCATTTTCTGCCTTAGTTTGTCATCATCTCTGGTTTATTGTCTAGGGATGTCCATCTGTTGTATTTTCTACAGCCTTCAGCACTGTGTTCAGCAGGTGGATTATGCCACTTAATCATACTTGAACCGACAAGAAACTACAGTTCTACTGGTAGCACCACTGCCTTTTATGGTTCCTGAATTCCAAGTGTAATCTAGCACAGGTTTTCTGAAGCACCTAGAACATTTGTTCTAAGTTTTGTTAAATTGAACAAATTGTTAGATTCTGTTAGGTTATTTTTACCCCCTCCGTGTAGTATTTTTGTTGAGGAAAGGCAATTTATTTTCCTATTCATTATTCCATTTTTTTTTTTTTTTGACAGGCAGAGTGGACAGTGAGAGAGAGAGACAGAGAGAAAGGTCTTCCTTTTGCTGTTGGTTCACCCTCCAATGGCTGCCGCGGCCGGCGCACCGCGCTGATCCGAAGGCAGGAGCCAGGTGCTTCTCCTGGTCTCCCATGGGGTGCAGGGCCCAAGTACTTGGGCCATCCTCCACTGCACTCCCTGGCCACAGCAGAGAGCTGGCCTGGAAGAGGGGCAACTGGGACAGAATCCGGCGCCCCGACCGGGACTAGAACCCGGTGTGCCGGCGCCGCAAGGCGGAGGATTAGCCTAGTGAGCCGCAGCACTGGCTCCATTATTCCATTTTGTCCATGAGTTTGATCATTTTTGAGACACAGTCCAGCAACCTTATGTGGTTTCATTGGCACAGCAGCTGCACATCAGTAAAGGGTGTTTCAAAATGCTGAATGGCATCAGAGGATGAAACTGTCACTGAACACCAGTGCAGGCAGCCTGGGTAGTGGAGGCAACCATCACTGCTTTCACTGATCATTGGCCCACCCCTATTTTAGATGTCAATAATATGAAACACCACGGTGTGAAAATGAAGACTCAAGTTGATTGACAAGAAGGAATTTTTTAAAAAAATTTTAAGTGCAGTTTTTCCCCAGACCCTTGGGTATCTTTAATTAATGTCAAGCCATGAATAAACAGAGTACTTGATTTTTTGTTCTTTGGTCTTCCTGTAAATATGCTTATTTAATTCTCCTCATTACCCAAAAGTTGAATTCAGATCTCCTGATTCCAGATTCTGTTTTAATTTCAGTTCTGTCGCTTGCGTTGCCTTCACTCAGGTTTTATTATACTTCAGGTCTCTTTTTTGCAAAACAAATGTTGAGAGCAGGACCTTTCTCTTTCTAGTCATCTGTACCGAAAGGAGAATCGGAGAGAGAATGAGCTACATGGAATTGGACCCTATCTAGTTCAAATACCTTGTAAAATAATTTGTACAGGTACTCTATTTGCAAAGCACTGGTCTAGTGACTTACAGTGCATTGGCTCATTTCATCCTAGACACCTCTGACAGAGTTCCTATTGTCCCAATTTATGGAACAGTAATCTGAGGCATAGAGAACAAATGAGTGCCTCTTTACCCACCCCTTTGTTTTATTGGTGAGAGATCAGCCAGTGGTCTAGGCCCTCATCTCTCTGATCTTCTTAAAGAGTTATGTGGCCTTTTTATTATTAAGATTTATTTTATTTGTTTGAAAGGCTGAATTACGGGGTTAGGGGTGGGGTGGGGAAGAGAATTTTCTGATTTGTTGGTTCACTCCCCAAATGGCTGCAAAGACCAGGGCTGGGCCAGGCCAAAGTCAGGAGCCAGTAGCTTCATCCATGGGTACAGGGACCCAAGCACTTGGGCCATCTTTGACTGCTTTCCCAGGCGCATTAGTAGGGAGCTGGATTGAAGGTGGAGCAGCTGAGACTTGAACTGGCACCCGTATAGGATGCAAGCATCGCAGGCAGCTGCTTTGCCTGCTACACCCCAATGCTGGCCCCTGCACGGCCTTTCTTAAACTTGTAACAGACAACCGGCCTAGCCGTCAGTTTTCATGGGATCAGTGCCGTCTGCAGCTTCCGCGTGTGTAGAAGCAGCAGCTCCCTGAGACACGTTGTGAGGCCGACTCACAGGCTCTGTGTTCCCAACAACTTTTCTCTTAAGTGCTTATACTTATTGGAGAAAGCGTTATGTTTGTTGATCTCAGTATTCCTTTTTTCCTTCAAAATGAAATTGTAGCCTCAAAATTACTTTTTTGTGCCTGAAGACTAAAAGAATTGTTTAATTTGTAGACTCTAGGGACCATGTGTGAAAGTTCAGCCATCTTTTCTCCTTATTGCTTATTGATAAAAAAAAGTGATGAGTGAAAACGAGAAAAACCATTTCTCATTTTCCTCAGTTTCTTGTGTTCTTGTCCTTTAAATATTATGGCAAAAGTTATGGAAAACTGCTTAGTAATTGCTTTTTTTCTAAAGCTAGTCTGAATCACTTTTAGATTCTCATTTCCCTGGGTTGATCTAGTCATTTAACTCATCAGAAATTCATTTTAGTTATTTTAAATAACAATATAGAAATATAAAAAAAATGGCAAGCACTTTAAAGAATATAACTTACAGAATTTAACTTTTCTGGATAACCGCGGTGTTCGCTGAGCTCCAGAACTGCTTATCTAGAGATATGAGCGTCATTGTATCTTTATTCTTCAGATATTACGGAAACTGCAAAATTGCCAGATGTTAGAAATGCTGTAATCTGAAATCGGAAAGATTTGGTCATGAAGTTCATCATCTTCCAAGAGAAGATTTAGTATCACAGCTTCTTCTGACATCAGGTTTTGCGGTTAAAATTAACTAGTGGAACTTCCCCAAGATAATAGACAGATCATAATTTTTACTTTTGAAGTGGGTAACATGTGGAATTACAGCAGTAGGAAGACATTCCCCCCTATATTTCTTACCAGATAAATTATTTCCTGCTGAAAGAATGGAAATGAGAGTATAAATTCCCATAAACATGAGGTATGGCTATAAAAATATATTGCTTTTAATAAATAGAAAGCAGAAACACAGGTACATCAGTGCTTCCTGGAATGGTGCCGCCACTCAGAACTTGTTTTTGGAATTCTGATTGCCCTGAGAATTAAGAAGCACAGTTTTTCTTGTGCGAAGTCTTCATTCCCTGAAGGTCGACCTGGTTTACGGTGGAGTCGGAAGTCCTATGCAAAGCAGCCGAGGACGACACTCCCTGGCAGGGCTCGTGGAGAATGTGCCAGAAGCGTGAAGTAGGAGACTCAGCTTCTTGGGAAACTCCCGGGCTGATGCTCGGAGCTCTTCTAGGCTGGCTTTCCCAGGGCGTGTGGGCCAATGGAGGCGTCTTTTTCTACGAGCAGATGAGGCCTCGTGGGCAGCACCTGCAACACTCGCTCATCCTGGAGGCCCTCCTGACCTTGAGGGGCTCCTCTGAATCCCTCCTCTCTGCTGAAATTCAAGCTGTCTTGTTCAACAGGACTCACTGTGTTCCTGTATTGTCCAACAGGACTCGCTTGGGGCCCATTTAGCAGCTTAGAAATCATTCCCAGGCCATCTTGCTGGCCTGCAGTGGTCTCCTAGGCTCATCCTAGTGTCACTAAGGCCTATTTTCTTTGACGACTTGCTTGTTCCAACTGGGGTGAAAGGGGACCTCTCCCCCAAGAAGCCCCTTGCCTCCTGCTTCCTACAACATTAGTTTTTATAACCAAACTTGTACCACCACATCATTCATGTTCGTGTATTCTCTATCCCTCTACATGGGCCACGTTCCTTACCCAGTTGTGTATGTGATCACAACATTTTCTGTAAATTAATAGATGCTAGCAATTTGTTATATTTGCTACAGCTTTTTTTAAAAGCAAATTTTAAATTCTGTTTGATAAATGAAATAGTAAAGATATCCCTGAAAATCTGTCCTCACGCAGCCTACTTCTCCTGTCTCCCTCCGCGGAGGGAGCCCTCTCTGAAGTTGGTTGGTATTGTCCCCATGCAAGCACAGGCTCATGTTATCTGATGTGAAACCCTTGAGCTGGGTGTGTTTGGGAATTAACCTTCACTATTAGAAAGGTAAAATGATCTCTGGACTGTATGTAATAGCCCTGCAGCCCTGGGCCAGCAGCTCTTAAGCAGATACATTAGCATGTCTTCAGCAACCTAAATCAGCATTCACATTAAATAAATTAAATATTTTTATGGTTTTTAAATTTGTATTAACATAAAGATAACAGATTTTGTGTATTTCATAGGTAGAGTTCTAAGAAGATAACCATAATTCTCTCCTTCTTCCTCTCTCAGTCCCCCTCCCTCCTTCCTTTCTTTGCTTTTTTCTTTGTTTTTTTTTTTGCAAAGATGTAATTTCAATCAACTCTATAATTACAGACTTAGTTAACCACTAACCATAATATTCAACAAGTAAAATGTAGGAAGACCACGCTCCACAGGAGGATAAACAAAAGCTAAAAACAACAATCATATCACAAGATGTCTATTTCATTCCTTTATATTTTCTGTATTCTATATTACCTGCCACGCATCAGAGAGAACATGTGATATTTGCCTTTTGAGGACTGGCTTAGTTCACTAAGCATAATGGTCTCCACTTGCATCCATTTTGTTACAAAAGACAGGGTTCCATTCTTTTTTATGGTTGAGTATTTCATAGTGCATATATACCACCTTTTCTCTAGTCATCTGTTGATGGAATCAAAGTTGATTCTAGTACTAGCTATTGTGATTGGCGCTGCAATGAACATAGGAGTCCAGAAAGCTCTTTCATGTGCTGATTTCATTTTGTCTGGGTAAATTCCCAGGAGCTGGATGGCTGGATCATCTGGTAGATCTATTTTCAGATCTTGAGGAATCTCCATACTGTCCCCCATAATGGTTGTACTAGTTTACATTCCCACCAGCAGTGGATTACAGTTCCACTTCCTCTACATCCTTGCTAGCCTTTATTTTTATTTTATTTTTTTTAGTTTTGGTTGAGAGTCATTCTAACTGTGGTGAGATGAAACCTCATTGTGGTTTTTATTTGTATTTCCCTGATGGCTAATGAACCTGAGCATTTTTTCATCTGTATGTTGGCCATTTTAATTTCACCCTTTGAAAAATGCCTGTTTATAATCTTTGCCCATTTCTTTACTGGATTGTTTGTTTTGTTATAGTTGAGTTTCTTGAGTTCTTTATAGATTCTAGATATTAATCCTTTTTTAGTTGTATAGTTTGTAAATATTTTCTCCCATTCTGTTGGTTGCCTCTTTGCTTTGTTGAGTGTTTTGTTTGCAGTACAGAAGCTTCTTAGCTTGATGTAATCCTATTTGCCAATTTCTACTTTTATTACCTTTGTTTTCTGGGGTCTTTTCCAAGAAATCTTTGTCCACGCCATGTCTTGCAGTTTCCTCACTGTTTTGCTCTAGTAATTTGATAGTATCAGGTAATAGATTTAGATAGCTGGTCCATTTTAAACAGATTCCCACCAGTTCAGTCAGTTCTTTGCCACCATAAGACTTTACTATATACCTAGGACCAAACATCTGGGTTTGTGGGTATTGCCATCTTGAATACAGCGTGGTAACCACTGATTTGCCTTTGTGATGTATCTAAGGATTCTCAATCTGCTTTTCTATTTGGTAATTTCCTTATCTTTGCTCTTATCTCCATTGCTTCTCTCATGTTTATATTGTGTTTATTGTTTTTTTTCCTGACTTCCTTAATTGCCTGAGTTCATGTGTTTTACTTCCTTTTCATAGTAAGAGTATGTAATTCTGTGTCTATACTTCCTGTCTAGAGCTTTGGTTAATCTCAGAGGTCTTTCTAGTAGTGTTCTCATGTTTATGGTTTGTAAAATAATCTCATTACATTATAAAAAGTAACTCTTTGTCTCAGTATGTTTTTAGTAAGATACTTTATAATTACAAGGTATAAAGGTATTTTTAACTTTAATCATTAATTTTTTAAGACTCATATATTTATTTATTTGAAAGGTAGAGTTACAGAGACAGAGGAGAGACACAGAGATCTTCCATCCTCTGGTTCACTCCCCAGACGGCCTCAATGGCCAGGGCTGTGCCAGGTCAAAGCCAGGATCCTGGAGCTCCTTCTGGGTCTCCCACATGGATTCAGGGGCCCTTAGACTTGGGCCATCTTCTGCTGCCTTTCCAGGCACGTTAGTAGGGAGCTGGATCAGAAGTGGAGCAGCCAGGACTCGAACTCGTGTCCACATGGGATGCCAGCACTGTAGGCCGTGGTTTAACCTGCTGTGCCACAGCGCCTGCCCGATAGTCATTAATTTTCAGTGTCACTGCATTGTGATACTCCAGAGTTTATGATGGGCATTCTTAATGTAATAAAAGATTTTTTTAAAAATAAAAATGCCTACTAGATTTACGTTTTTCAAATCGATAGTATCTTTCAAAATATGGTTATTGTAACCAAGTTTTACTTCCTCAAAAATTTCTCAGTCTTTTTTACTAGAATGTCTTATACCTCCTGCTGAAAATAAAACCAGCAAATAGTTGCTTTGCTTTATGGTTATATATCTCAGATTGACTAAAAGTGGTGTTACTAAGCTGTTCAGTTTCTCTGCCTTTACCCTGCTCCAAATATTACAAAAGCAAGTCTGTGGACAAGGGTAAGATGCTGCCTCCTGGAGCTACTGTGAAAAGCAAGTCCCAGACAAAGCAGTGGAAGTGGCTTGTGTTCAGCCTCGTCAGCACCCAGCGTGTGAGATGGGTCCAGTACCTGGCTGCAGCTCCTGACTGTGTTCCTGCTAATGCAGACGCTGGGAGGTAGTGGTGATGGCTTGAGTTATTGGCCACTGACATGGGAAACCTGGGTTCAGTTCCTGGCCCTTGGTTTAAGCCCTGCTGTTGTGGCATTGAAAAATGAACTAGTTGATCGGATCTCTGTCTGTGTCTCTCTGTCAAATAAAAGAAGAAAAGAAAGGAAGAAATTCTAATCCCCGATTTTCAAACAGTGGCATCATTGAGGAAAATATTTTCTTTATTCCTCCTCCCTTTCACCCGTAGCACATAGTGGTGGTAATGGCATCAAAGGACAGCATGCGTTTTAAAGATGTCCTGCTACCTTCTTTAGGATCGCACATCATGGAATCCGTTTCATGTTACCCGTCTAGAAGTTGTTCTGTGTGATTGTGAGCGGTGGTAGGAGGGAGGGTTCCACACTCAGCTGAGAACTAATCAGTGATGTGTTGCACCCCGGTCTCACTCTGATGTTTGCTTTCTTGCTTTGGCTTCGATTGCTTCCTACCCATTTCCAGAGCTGTGGTTTTCTTCAGAGAGGAATTGCTTGGAAAATTTTTTTATAGATAGAAGAGGTAGAAGGATTTTGACTTCTCAGAGACAGCATCAAGGTTTTATGTTTAGGCAGTAGCTGTAATTATAATATAGAAAGGAAACAATGTCCTACTAGCTTGATTTTGTTGTTAGTAACACAATCCCCCAAACTGGGTGAACTAAAGAGAAGACATCAGTTTTGGCCCACAGCTCTGGTCCAAGGTGAGGGGCCCATACCTGGGCATGGCCTTCTTGCTGGCAAGTCCCACGGTGGCACCAAGCAGCACACAAGGGTCAAGGAGAGCTGGTGTGTGTGTGTGCTGGTGTCTCCTTCTTGGAAATCAGTCGCCAGTGTTCAGTCTTCAAGGCTCCATCCTGATGACCTTATCTGATCCCCAACACCTCCTAAAGACCCCGCCTCTGAACATTACACCTGGATTAAGTTTCCCTTCTTTTAATACCTCACCAAAGGGTTAAATGCCAGTATGAGTTTTGAAAGGGACAACATTCAAACCATAGTAAATATACAGTGGTGGTAATGCCCAAGCTTAGCAATCTGATCTCATAGTCATTGGAAGAATTTCTTTTTGAGATAGTCACATAACCTCACTTTGCTTTGTTTCAGTCATCCTGTTCCTCCCAGGAGAAGTTACATCAGTTGCCATACCAACCGACGCCAGATGAATTGCACTTCTTATCGAAACATTTTTGTACTACCGAAAGCATTGCCGCTGAGAACAGATGCAGGAACACCCCGATGCGGCCCCGATCCCGAAGTCTGAGGTGTGTAGACCGCGCTGAACACTCTCACTCAGTTTAATTAGTTTTCTTCAACTAATTTCGGTGAAAACTTTGGGCCCTCCAAGTCATATCCAAGCTAATTGATTTGTGAACTGCTATAAATATAATGGGATTTTTCCATTTATGCATGATACTGTTCATTACCACTGAAAGGTGCCTGACTCCTTATCTTCTAAATCTCACTATTTGCTGCTTGTTGCGATGGAGATGATCATGGCCTTAGGGGTCTACGCATACAAACGTTCAGGAATCTAATCATGATGCAAGAGTGGTTGATGTTATGTTGAGATAAAGAACCTTAGTTGAAAAGGGGGACAGCAAAAATAGGAGGTTATTCCCAGATTCTGTAAAAGTCCACTCCAGTCTCTTTATTCTTTCTCCCCATGAGAAGTCTTACCTTCTGTAGGATTATGAGCAAAGTTTTAGGAGTTGGGGTCACCTTCAGTTTTTGTTTGTTTCAGCTGGATTTTGTGAGTGCCAAGTGTAGTCCACGGACATTGACTAGAACGGGTTTGATTTGTATCTTGTTTCAAATCCTGTGGGTCTCAAGTGGCTTCTTCAGGAAGCGGACTCTAAAGTAGGCTGGTGTTCAGGGCGTTTATCGGAGAGGGCTCTTGGGATCAACACCCAAAGAAAGGAAGGGAAGAATGAGCAGCGCTGGCCCGAGGGAGAAGTCCAGCTGCAATAGAGGCCGCACGTCCTCTGCCCACCCCACCAGGAAGTATCCCTCTGAGCCGGTGGCCTTTCCTGTGCATTCCCACCTTCCTGTGGCCCCCTGGCAAGCAAGAGGCCTTGAACGAGTGACTCCTGCAGCTGAGGCCATCCCGAGGTCTTGATGCCACAGGCTTGGAGTACTCGACATAGTAGGGTTGGAGTATTTAAAAATAGGTTTTTAATAGGTGTGCAATTGACTATCAAAGCTTACTAGGATTTTTCTTTTTGTACCTTTCTTCATTTAGTGTTGTAAATTAATACTAATGTGTTAGATAATTTTCAGATAGGGAATAAAAATCCAGCTTTATCACTACAGCAAGGGGCACTATTTTACCCCATGGGTATCATTTTTTCTTTATTAAAGGAGTTCCTGGGATATCCAAGAGTAGATGTGTACCTAGGAATCCCACCTCGGTATATAAATACACTAAAGTAGCACCACTGTATACCACCAGGTAGGAGCACAGACCTGCTCCTGAAGTAACCAGAAATGCACACCAGCTGTATGCCTGTTCATCTGGTACGGAACGCTTAGCTCAGCATCCCAGATAAATATTCGCTAGGTTAGAAAATGGATTTCAATTATGACACCTGTGCCACGGAAGAGTCAGACCTCTTCAGTGGCGTGTGGCGGAGAGCAGGTGTAAGAGAGAAGTGTGAAATTGCACTGTTAAACATGTCCTAGATGCTGCTGTCGGTTGCTACCCTGTTCTGTTTTAGATTGCAGTTCATTAATGGGAATCGAGAACTACGTAAGCTCATCCCACATGCAGAATGTAAATGCAACTTAAATATAAATACAGTTTCTGAACTGGTGTTGTAAGTGTAATTATTTTATGGCATTTCCCTTCTTGAGCTTCCTTCTGGAATCCTATTTAAAGTCCCTGCATTTATGGCTTTCGGTGTGTACATGGGTGCTAATGACTGATTTTGCCATGCATTCCCTAATACAGAATGCTTTTCGCACAAAGGTTCCACAGGCCTCTTGATGCGCAACTGACTGTTTATAAATAAAAAGCTTCTTTTCATTTCATGCTGTGGCAAGTTTAAAAGGCTAATTTGCTTTGCTTGCAGCCCCGGACGTTCTCCTGCCTGCTGCGACCATGAAATAATTATGATGAACCATGTCTACAAAGAAAGGTTCCCAAAGGTAATGAATTGAATTGAAGATGCCCAGCATCTAAACGAACAGGCAACAGAGGTGAACATCTGTAAGGTGGTTTTGTTAGGGGCAGTAAGGGTCCAAATTAGAAAACGGCATAAAGCAGCAGTATACTGCGACAGCACAAAGCATTTTAAGCTAAGAACTGCTGCCAACCAGCCGCTCTGTGTGCTGAAATGTGTGGAAAGCAAACCCTTGCTGGTTGTGTGCCACCCCTGGGTGGGCCTGATGAGCAGCTGTGTGGAGGGGTGGTTGGAAAGCCTGTGGACCCTTGCTGTTCCCGATTCCCAGGTTCTGAACCCACTGCTGTATTGCCAAGAGACACCAGTTTTTCCATCAAGAGCCTGTAGATTGGTGTATCATGGAAGTTGTGTTTTTTTTTTTTCCTATTTAATTTTGATTGTCTATAAGTTCCCATCTTTTTTGCCATTACATTTCCAGCTCTGTAATTCAGAAGGGAGGGTGCAGCCGTGACGTGGCCCAGGCAGACTGGTAGAAGGAGTTTGAATGGAGCCAGAGAGCAATTTGTGAAGAATCGTTGCCCACTCCCTGGCTGCGAGGAGCCGCTTTCTGATAGTCCCTGTCGCCTTTCCTTATTTGCAGCTCCTTCCCACCAGAGTGTTCCCACAGACTTGGGAGACAGCAGCCTCTCCGTGTTGTTCCTAATGTCCCTGCCCTCCTCCCTCCCACCCCCAGCCACACACACATTTGTTACCCTAGGCAAGAGAACAAAAGGAAGTCTCTCGTTTCATAAATCAGGAGTGGAGCACTTATTATTTGTAATGAACCCAATGTCGATGTCATTGATTAACGCTGCTTCAGCTATTCCTCATGTGTCACTTGCTTACCAGGGAAACAGATTCTAACTGTGCCTCATCCATGCAGGCCAGGGTTTCAGAGGAGAACCCAAGGAAGGAGGAAAAAGGAATCCTCTTATATAGACAGTGTATGGCAGGGGTTTTGAAGAGGCACTAGGTGATCCCAGAGGAAGAAGTGAAAGTTGAATAGGAAATTTTGGGTCTGTTTTTATCAAGGTACTCCCCTTGGCCCTTTGTGCAAGATGTGTTTTTTAAGGAAAGGATAAAGATGGTTTACATTTGCACTCCTGGTGCATTAAAACCTATCCGAGAAAACAACCTTCACCCTAGCAAGAGTGCTTATTTTTAAGTAAAGCCCAAAGAAATGCTTGATTTTTTTAAATATAATCTATCTGCAAGTGCCCACGATCTAAAAGGAACACATAAACAATTCAGTATTAGCCGAGTTAATGTGAAACAGCTCACAATTTATGTTGGATAGGATATAGGAAGAAAGGGATGAGCGTCCTGAAATGTCCATGGTCAAATTTATTCCTGAATCTTTATTATTGTCATTCCACCAGGCAGCAGGGGGCAGTTGCTGCTTCCTTCCCTTCTTTTGTATTCTGTAAACTTTAGGCCGTAGAGCAGCTTTGGCTTCACAGCCGAATTAGGTGGGAGATGCAGAGATTGCCCATCTGACCTCTGCCCCCATGGGCAGAGCCCTCCCCCGTGACCCCCCCCCCCACCTTAAATAGGTACATTTCTGACCATCAGTGAAGCCACACTGACACCTCCTTGCCACCCACAGTCCACACGGACATTAGGGCTCCTTCCGGGGGTTGTATAATCAGTGTGTTTGGACAGATGTCTGCCCGTTCATCGTATCACACAGAAATGGAGCAGTGGGGCAGCTTTGACATGTCCTGTCCAGAATCTGGTTTCAGAGCTGGGTAAATGTGGTCGTTGGCGCGCTTGCTGCGTTTCCTTGTGTTACACCTGCACGTGTGTCTTCTCTAAACAGGCTACGGCTCAGATGGAAGAGCGCCTGAAGGAGATCATCACCAGCTACTCTCCCGACAACGTCCTTCCCCTCGCAGACGGAGTGCTGAGCTTCACTCACCACCAGATTATTGAGCTGGCCCGGGACTGCTTGGATAAATCCCACCAGGGTCTCATCACCTCCCGATACTTCCTGGAATTGCAGCACAAGTTAGATAAGTTGCTACAGGAGGTGAGAACCATGCACCATATAAAGTTTTCTAATTTGTTTGCAGTTCTCCTGGAGAAAAAAATGATTTTTATGGGACCATTTGCTTATACGTTGCAGCTGAGAGATTGAGTTCCCATTCCAGGGAAGCAAAGGAGAAGAGGAACACCCAGCTGATTGCTACTTACTATAAACTGGTTCTGGTCATTATGTAGAGTAATAGAAAGTTAATGTAATAACCTTTACAGGAACCTTGGGACCCAGCAATCCACGAGTCTGGGATAAGTGGATTGTGAAGGATTTTGAAGCAGTGATTTCTTTTCCCCTTCACCTTAAAGTTATAAATTGCCTGAGCGTGGGTGTGTTATTTGATGGTGCTATCTGGTTCTAATATCTGGAAAAGCTAAATGGGAAATTGCCAGTTTCTTCCAGGCTATGTGTCCTATTAATTAACCTGCGATGGTGTTGGGTAGTAAATGGCAACTTACATTTTCAGTAGTGTCAGTTCTTCTTCTAACAAAATATCCAATTTCCAAAAATGACAGATAGACACAGGACCTGACTCTGTCTCAATGTGCATGCCTGGCTCCTGGTAGCACTGGGGACAGGAGGGGAGTGTGGGTGGCAGCATGGAACTCCGTTCATAGCTTTGCAGCCTACATGTGAAACCTAGTGAGCCTGTGTCTTTGGATGTATTATATTGGTGAGTCTCATAGGGCATGAATTGTGCCCAAGGAAACAAAATCATAGGTGGTTTTCTCTAAGTTTAAATGTATAAATTGCGCAGAACTGAGCGAAAGTACGAGTATCCCAATTTTCAAGAAATCCACCTGTCCCACCACATTTTTGGCGAGTGAGGAAGAGCCCTCTTCTACAGGGTTAGCAGCCTCTGCTTCTCTCTTTTCCCTGACGTCCTGAAAGGGCTCCCCCTACTCTGTCCCCATTTCTCACGTGCCACCCTTGAGCAGCCCACTAAAGCTGTGCCTCTCAGGCTTCCTGGAGCGGGGCCGGGGTGGGGTGGGGGTGGTGGGTGTGTTGTTTTGTGGGTTTTGTCGTTGCTGGCTTCCAGATTGGCAGGGGCTGCTCCTCCCATAAACTAAAGTGCAGGTGAATTTACAGGCAGATGATCATGTACCTGTGGGTTCTGGCAGTGTGTACGTGCTGTCAGGGTGGCGCGCTGCTACTGTCACTTGTTACGGCGTCACACACCAACAACTGTTCATGGGCTGGCTCCAGCCTGGGGACCACACTTTGAGTAGCATTATGATCCAGTCCACAGGCTGTGTGCACAGGAATATTTGCTGTGTTCACCTAGGTTGGGGTGTGTGACACACAGAAAAATCCCAGTATTTGTCCAATGCAGGGATCTGGCCTTCTGTCACTAACCTTCCCAATGTCCTTATAACTGTTGTATCTGCTGGGTGTTTTGCTGGAGTAGGCCTATTTTACTGGCACAGTATTGCATCCAGCGGTGGTAAAATTCTCTTTTTCTGTATCCCCGTTCCCTGTTAACATATTCTCCCATTCTTGTTGCCTCTCTGACCTTGTCTTTGCTTCTCCTAAGAGTTTCCTCTTGCAGCTTATGCTTTCCACAGTGAGTTCCCCGACCTCCTGCTGCTTCTGCTGCTCCTGCCCACTCCCCGGTGGTCTTCTAGTCAATCCCCATGGACTCCAGTGGCTCCCCACCTGTGTCTCAGACGGCCAATTTCATATTCAGGTGTCTGTCCACTTCCCAAGTGTCTTTCCACCTGCACAGCCCACCAAAGCAGCGGACCCAGCCTGTCCCAGGCTGGACTGTCCAGCCTTTCTTGGACCACACCTGCTTCCCCTGAATTCTTTGCCGCCATCATTGGCACCACCGTCTCCCCAGTCACCTGCTGGAACTTAGACATACTTGGCTTTCTTGTGCACTTCATCAGCCAACCACTCACTAGACTCACACAGGTCCCCTCTTAACGATTTCTCCAACTGTCGATAACCACTCCCTCACTTGGACCCTCATCCTCCTTTGCCCAGCCCCTTCAGTGCGAACCCTGAACAACCATACTTCCGTGCAGCTGTCAGCATAGCTACCACTCTTGAGTGCTGCATTGTATCTGCAGGTGAGAAGCATAGCATGGCCCACAGCACTGCCCTTCCCTCTGAGCACATCTTAGCCACAGAATGTGGTGACGAGCTCTTGGGGGTCTCCCTTTACCAGTAGACGTCGGGCTGTTTGAGGAACAGGGCTCATCTCTAACTCCCTAGTGCCTCCCTCAGTGCATAGTGGTCATCAGGTCTTAACTTCGGAGGGGTTGAGGGAGGAAGAAAGTACTATATGAGCATGCCAAACTATTTAATACGTTATGATTTGTGATCAAGTCACCTAATTCTGTTGTTCCTGCTAATCAAATCAGCACCTGCAAAATGCTGGGAACACTCTGTTACTACCTATGGGGATATCTTGAAAATTATGTTTGTGAAATAGTAAATAGTCTTGAGAGCAGAGGAAGCAGACCGGAGAGCTGCTCTCTAGTCAGCCTCTGAGATACTCCTCCCCTGATCCCGCAGGTCTGTCCCAGCACGTGACCATAATCATGTTTTTCATTCCTTCATAAGCCCTCCTGAAAGGGTGCAGTTGATGGCCAAAGCTACAGATACTGAAATCCTTCACTGAATTTCCTTTCTCTGTGATAGACTGGCTGGACTGCTTTGTGGCAATTAACAAAAAAAGAGAGAGAAAACAGAATTTCAGAGATCATGTGAATGAATGAGCAATGTAATGGATGAAAATGTGTGTACCTTTTAGAGAGTTTCTCTTTTGGTCGGAGAAGCAGGCGCAAGTATACTTGTGGCACAGGGTGGGTCATTGTTGGGTTTGAATAAGAATGTTGTCTTGTTTATCTTTAAAAATAAACCTCTTCTTGCAGATCTTTTATAAAAATTAAAACTACCTCCAGAATCACATTTTCAGTGTTCTTCCAGGTCTTAAAGCTAATCTGTCCCAGGGAGCACGCTCCTTCTAGGTGGAGCCCAATTTTAGGAACTTGCATCGGTGGCCCCATGATGTGTTGGCTGCTTCCCAGACGGGGCATTCTGTGCCCAGCAGGCCTATCGTCCAGCCACTGTCCCCACTGTCCGTCTATCACGGAAGCCAGGCAGAGCCCTCCTGGGATTTCAGCGTCTTGGTTCAACTGACGTTTTTTTCAAGTCCTGAGGCCTAGGTTAATTCCAGATGAATGCTTTTATGTCTTTACCCGTTTTTCCAGTTAGGCGTGTTTAGCCAAAGCAAATGCAACGCATGGGAAGCGCTAACGTCCTCTCAAGTCTGGGTGCCTGCGCTTTTCTACAGTGGCCAATACTCAAAACACAGAGACCAAGTTCCACGGATTCCTCCCCCACCCTCGTGGAGCTTGCCCCGGCAACCAGGGAAGAATTTCTCTTTCCTGGCTAATGGGATCTTTTTATTTGGTGGTGTTTTAGTAAAGCTCCTTCTCTTTCCCTTAATGGGAGTAGATAAAATGTTATTTGAGTTAATAACTTGTTTTGTGTGTGTGTGTGTGTGTGTGTGTGTGTGGATAGTGAGAGAGAGAAAGAGAGAAAGGTCTTCCTTTTCCGTTGGTTCACCCTCCAATGGCCGCCGTGGCTGGTGCACTGCGGCCGGCGCACCGCGCTGATCCGAAGCCAGGAGCCAGGTGCTTATCCTGGTCTCCCATGCGGGTGCAGGGCCCAAGCACTTGGGCCATCCTCCACTGCCTTCCCAGGCCACAGCAGAGAGCTGGCCTGGATGAGGGGCAACTGGGAAAGAATCTGGTGCCCCGACCGGAACTAGAACCCGGTGTGCCGGCGCCGCTAGGTGGAGGATTAGCCTAGTGAGCCGCAGCGCCGGCCTTGAGTTATAACTTGTATCTTTTGGCCTTGGTCATGGCTGATCATTCTTAGTAGGAAGAAATTAAAATGAATTATTTCTGTGATGTTTGAAGTGGAGCCCAAAGTGGACTATTTCTGTTTTTTCCAAAATCAGGTTCTCATTTTCCCCTAAATCGATCCCCAAAATGTGTTCAGTTTGTTTAGATTTTGTTTATATTCTTTAACCTATAAAGCAATAATTATTATATTAGAAAAAATCTTCAGTATTCAACCAAAATTATTATCCAAGATATTGGGTGGTTGTTTTGCATCTTTAAAGTTTTCTGTTTAGTTTGGTTAAAGAGAAGGCATATTTCTTGGCATTAATTATATCTTCCAAGGGCTGCTTTTGTTGCATAAGAAAAATTGTAAAGAAATTTAAAGGCAGCTTTCAAAATTTATAGCATGTATATTATATATGTACTCTAGCCTCCGTACTTGTTACTGGGATCTTCAATTATAAGTACTAGTTGGTTTTCTTTGGACATACTTTATTCTACAGTTGCTTACCAGTAGTCATTTCCCTGTTGTTTACTTTTTTTACATTTTAAATGTTAACTGTTTTGCTGTTGCCCATATATGGTTTCTGTACCTATGTTTTGGAAAATTACCTTTGATTTGATGACTTAAATTCAGTAGACCTTCTAAGTTTAGTCATTCGTTTGCAAATTTGTTCGGCCCAGTTCTTTTATTGTAAATAGTTTTTAGATTCTTAGAAGGAATTAACTCATACTAAAAAATTAAGAACGCCTAAAATTGAGTTACAGTAAAACTTCCAAAGCTGTTATGCCTGCCTTGATATATATATCTACCTCATTTCTTCCAGAAACTATCATTGAAATTTTGAATGAATTTTTAAGAAGCTAAGCTTTTCTTTCAGAAGATTTATTGGATTTAGGCAACATAAAGATTCCTAAATGAGTTTAATTTTGCTGAGTTGAGTGTCTTGGTCTTATTTATTCAGTGTGTCAAATCGAATTCTTATGTAGATACCCAAGTGTAAACATTTTGCAGCTAACACGTGAAATAAGCATTACACACTTTTCCACGTGGTAAAATAACTAATTTGTAGGCTAATCGTGTTGTCTATGTAAATATGTTTTATGAACCTGGAAATGCTCCGAGTGGCTCCAGCAGCCCTGTACTATGTCAGCTGTGTCACCCATCCAAGATGTTGCATGTAGAAAGTCAAGGCTCTGGATCAGCTGCCGGCTCCACTTACACCGTGTACTTAATGTGTCGTAAACTTTTAATGTTTCCTGTACTTGCAGTTCACCACCAGAGCCCTTATGCTTGATTTTTAATACAGATAATAAATCAAAATTTTGCAATTGAACTTTAGTTAACGGGACTATTTTGTAGATATAGATGTCTGTTTATTTGCAGATAATGCCTGGTTACCCGTCTTCTAAGAATGCCTTCTAAATCAGTTAACTTTTGAATATTTGGAATGACCTAATTAGCATGCTTTGCTGAGTTTCTTTCCCATTTAGTGGAGGGACTCTGTATTATCATTCTGTTGATTGCTTTTCCGTAGGCTCATGATCGCTCAGAGAGTGGAGAGTTGGCCTTTATTAAACAGCTCGTCCGGAAGATCCTGATCGTCATTGCCCGCCCTGCTCGGTTACTGGAGTGCCTGGTATGTGCCTTTCAATGTGACTCCATTATTGACTGCTCACTGAGGGAGAGCGGTAGCCTTCAGAAGGCTCCCATTTCATTTGCCTTCAACCCCCAGAGCTAAATGGGAAGAGTCAGGAGGAACTACAGCGTGTGAACGCGTACGATGACATCCGTATGTGACTTGTCCTCTCCGATTTTAAGAAGGAATTCTCGGACTTGTGCTGTATGAAGTGATAGTCCTATCGTATTCCGGTCAAACTTGAAAGATGATATGAAATGATGTGCCTGACTCCATCTCAGCATAATTACTTTATGTCACAGCTAATTTAAAACGCTCGCTGTGCTTTTTTTTTTTTTTTTGAGTTGATAAGATGCAGAAAGAGGGAAGTCAGAGATAGTTAGCGACCCATTTGGGAGATTACAGCAGGCCCTCCTTCAAACCGGAAGGAGTGTGAATTTTATATCTTAGTTCATTTTTTCAATTTTATATATATGTATATTTTTTTTTTGCCAGGGACCATTTTCCTGTTTCAAAATGTTTGTTTTATGAAATTTTCATTGGATTTTCAGTCACATCTTTGCATAAATATGAAGCTTTAGACATAAGAATTGTTTTAAAGGGCTGTATGGTGGCATTTGAAACTCAGTTTTAGGGAGCAGGTGTTTAGCCTACTTAAGATGCCCACATCCCACATTGGAGTCCTGTGGTTCAATTCTCAGCTCTAGCTCCTGACTCAGTTTCCAGCCAACATCGACCCTGGGAGTCAGCAGTGGTGGTCAGGCCATTGGGCTCCTGCCACCCACATGATTGACCTTGATTGAGTTCCTAGCCCTGGCCCTAGCCTAGCCCTGGCCCTAGCCTAGCCCTGGCCATTGCTAGCATTTGAAGAGAAAACCAGTGGATGAGCACTCTCTGGGAGTGTATGTGTATGCGTCTGCCTTTCAAATAAAGAAACTTTTTAAAAGTTTTAAAAAACCTCACTTTGAAGTTCTAGCCATGAAAGTAATTATAATACAGAATACAATACAACTTTTCATAATCACAAACACATATACTTGTCATTTTAGTGCTTCATTTTTTCCTTTATTCTCATTAGCTTTTTTTAAAAAAAAAGATTTATTTATGTATTTGAAAGAGTTACACACAGAGAGGAGAGGCGGCGGGTGGGGGGGGCGGAGGGAGGGAGGGGTCTTCCATCCGATGGTTCACTCCCTAACTGGCAGCAACGGCTGGAGCTGTGCAAATCCAAAGCCAGGAGCCAGGAGCTTCTTCTGGGTCTCCCATGTGCGTGCAGAGGCCCAAGGACTTGGGCCATCTTCTACTGCTTTCCCAGGCCATAGCAGAGAGCTGGATTGGAAGAGGAGCAGTCGGGATTCAAACTGGTGCCCATATGGGATGCCAGCACTGCAGGCGGTGGCCTTACCTGCTAACCAGTGTCGGTCCCTCTCATTAGCTTTTGTAGTGTTTTATAGTAATGGAGTATTCCTACCCATGGACCATGGATCAGCACAGAGTGAGGCACAGCACAGAGAAGATATTGAGGAGAAAGCTGCATGAGTTTGGGTTTTTCTAGTGGCCATGGCCTTTCGAATCCCAGAATCAAGCACCTTTTGGTATCTGGCGTTTCTGGCAGGACAACAGGGAAACTGTGGGTGCTGCTGGGAGTGAGAACTGGTCCTGGCCAATGCAGGCAGAAGGGAGGCTTGGTGCTGCTTCTCACAGGGGCTTTCGAATTGTGCACCGTGTGCTTCTACTTCCTGCAATTGCTTCAGTTGGGGTAAAATACCATTTTGCATTAAAACTTGTTTTTTCTGGACAGCAGCAGGTATACTATGAGCAGATCCTGGCATAAAAGAGGAAGTGGGATTTTTCGTATTCAGAAGGGAAAAAGTAAAATGGATCTTTTCAAAGATAGAAGCAAGTGAAGTTGGTACTAGCTTAGGGAACGTGGTTGTCTTCAGTGTTGTCTACAGGTCAGATGAAACTGGAGTTAGAGTATTAGGGGATATCCCCCCAGGCTGACCAGCTTCTGCCTAAAGTTCCCAGGCTTCCCCTCTCAGTCACTGCACATTTATGTAAATGGCACGAAATGGATGGATGATTCTCTCTCTCTCCCTCTTTCTGTCTCCCCACCATGACTCTACCTTTCAAATAAATTAGTATATAAATAAATCTGAAAAAAAAAAGAAAGTACATGGGAAAGATGTATTACCAAAGTTTTAGAGAAGACAAAGGTAATTGGATGTTAATATCCTATTTTTCTTTCTTAATCTTTGTATTATGTAAATAATTAATAACTTAATTTGAGAATTAACTAAAAATGGTAATGAAGTTTTTCTAATAAATTTAGACATCAGTGTGTCCTGCAAAACTTGCATAAATATATTCTAAGCTATCCCTTTTATTTATTTATTTATTTACTTGAGAGATAATGTTATAGACATAGAAAGGTAGAGACAGAGAGGTCTTCCATCCGCTGGTTCACTCCCCAAATGGCCACAATGGCAGGAGCTGGGCTGATCTGAAGCCAGCAGCCTGGAGCTTCTAACAAGTCTCCCACGTGGGTGCAGGGACCCAAGGACTTGGGCCATCTTCCACTGCTTTCCCAGGCCACGCAGAGAACTGGATCGGAAGAGCAGCAGCCCGGATACGAACCAGTGCCCGTATGGGATGCTGGTGCTGCAGGCAGAGGCTTAGCCCACTACACCATGGCGCTGGCCCTACTTATTTATTACTAAATTTTATTTAAATCATGCAGATTTCATCTATTTCATGTGTACAGGTTTAGGAACCTGTTCCTTTTGAGAGTGGTTGTATGGAGAAAAACACTGAATCCTCTAGATAAACTCTGAGATTTTAAAATGTTGCTGGTGATTGGAACGCAGATGTGAGAGGCATTTGACTCCGTAGTGGGGATGCTGTTGAGGCACTCACACCCCACGCTGGAGTGCCTGGTGCCAGCTCCAGCACCACTTCCAAATCCAGCTCCCTGCTGACATGCACCTGGGACACAGTCGGTGATGACTCAAGGATGTGGGTCATTGCCACCCACATCGGAGACCCAGACTGAGTCCTAGGCTCCTGGCTGTGGCCTAACCTAGCCTCTGCTATTGTGCGCATTTGGGCAGGACCCAGTGGATGGAAGATATCCACCTGGCTATTTTTCTCTCTTTGCATTTCAAATAAAATGAAGGGGCACTTTCCTTTCTTATATGCACATGCAGTTTCAGTGAGATGGAGATTTTTGAAGTTGTGTTACAAAGAAATCAGAGACAATCATTGAGTTATCAAGTACGCAAATGCATCAACTGACTTACAATTCAGGTTCAAGTATGAAGTGCACTTTGTAGTTTCTAAAGCTCTCGCCTCCTTTCTGCAGAGAACCTACAGCTGTGTATGTCCAGCAGTTTTCTTGTGAATAAGATTCATAGAATAAAAGCCCAGACAGTGTTGGCTCAAATATCCATCTGTGTTTGTCTTCCGCTAGGAATTTGATCCTGAAGAATTTTATTATTTATTGGAAGCAGCAGAAGGCCATGCAAAGGAAGGCCAGGGGATTAAAACTGACATTCCCAGGTACATCATCAGCCAACTGGGGCTGAATAAGGACCCTCTGGAAGGTGAGTGCCCTGCTTGGACCAGTGTGTCACTCGCTCAGGCCCACTGTGCCGTGGGAGAACTCGGTGGCAGGTGGCAGGTGGTGGTTTTCCTCGTGCGTCTGTTTCAGGAGCAATTGTGACTTGAAGGAGACAGCCAGGAGTGGAGTCCTGGAAGAGCAAGTGAGCATGCGCCATGTGGTGTTACCTGGAGTCCGGGGCCAGGGCTTGAAATCCTAGACACCCGTCAACCTGAGAATGCCAGGCAGTCCCAGGAGGATTCCGATTTCAATCTTGGAGCATTCATGCCCTTGCAAGGCTGTGGGGCTCTTCCTGAGAGTACTTTTAAGTTTGCAAATGTTGTTAAAGAATTCTGGTTCATTTAAAATTAACATTTAAATTCCATGTGGGAGTAAGATAGCTGATGGCAGACTACACTGAGGGCAGTACTGTTAGATATTTTTCTTACTTATCTTGAGAAAGCATGAAAAATAGTAACAGACAAGAGAGCCAGTGCAAAAAAAGAAATGCTTGGTGAAGCTTATGAAAGGATTTATGGCTGATTCATATGAAGGGGAAAAAAAAAACGGATATAATCCTATTAAGTACAGAGAAGAGGAAACATCCTGTTAGTGATTTTCAAAAATCTAATATTGGTAAGCCATTCGCCCCACCCCCACCACCAACCTTTCCTGTTCATTATTGTTTGGGATTGTTATTTATAACACTTAGGGTTATGGACTGCCTAAAAGGACTCACGAACAATTGTTGACTCCATTCAAAATTGTCTTCCTGGTTCATTAAATTGAATTTGCAAACAGTGTTTATCCTGCACCACTGTTCCTACTGGAGGTAAATGAGGTTTCCGGGACCGTAGGCCCCCCACCCCACCCCCAGGAAGCCCAGGGAACCTGCCACGCTCTGCCCTGCTCTCTCTGGCTTCCCCGGCTTTGTTTGCTCTCACGACCATCCTATCTTTGCTTCCAGTGAAATGATGCATGCATTACTGGGAGATAATGCCAGATAAATTTATACTGTACTGAAAGCAATACCACAACAGATTCATCACTTATCACAGACTGGTGGCTGCTTTTCTGAAAAGTTCCCCGGGGAGAGCTTTCTCCCCCTGGCTTTTAAATTACCATCTTTACCTTTTTGAATCATGAGTCTTCAGAAATGGTTTAAATCAATGAAATAAAAAGGGCAGATGTTTAATGGTATTTAGATGAGTTTTAAAAATCTCTTCAGGCATTACAAAATGATGCCTTCGCTTCCTGCTTCAAAAGCTGACTCTTGGTTCCATCCCATTACTACCCACTGCTTACAAATAATATGTGCTTCCCAGATAATAGTTATTTAGCAGAAATTCTATTTAAAACACAACCATCTTTTAATTTTTTTTTTTTACGAAAATAATTGCAGTGGGGGAGGCTGTCAGAGTGTATTAGAGTGACTGTTCACGCTGCTGTGGCGAAGATGGTATCACCCATTGAGGTGTAGACCAAGGCAGGCCCTCACTCTTTCCTTACGCGGCAGGAAGTACCACTGTAGTCTCAGCATTGAGGCCCATTATAGAGGCTTTAAAACGTTCATAGTGGGCTCTGACAGCTTTGGAGTTTAGTAACAGAAATTTATCACCGGGACTTACGTTTTTAACTCTTGACACTGCCTTTTCTTGACGTAGCATCACTTTTGACATCTATTGTTTAACACTTGAGATGTGACTCCTCCGTGTAATTTACTAAATGATGACAAACAAACTCCAGTAGGCATTCGCTCCCTTTTCTAGTCAACGTCTAAACTCACACACGCAAAGCCTGGCCATTTGAAGGTCAGAAGTGGGAGTTCTGTAGCCCGGCTGCCTAGGACTGCACCCTGAAGCCTGCACTGCTAGCCCGGTGACCTTGACCACTCCGGCTTATGAGCCCCTTTCTGCCCCAGTTCCTTCTGAACAAGCGGGTTGGAGAATAGTACCTACTCATTGGCTTGTTTTGAGGATTGTATGAGTTTATCTCTGTATTAGCTTAACCTAATAATTTCTTATAGTAAATGTTAGCTGCTCTTGGTGTTTTACTTACACAGTATAAAGCTGTAGTTTTGACATGCATGAAGTTTGTATATCTTAAATAAAAGGTTTCTAGGGAAAAACAAACAAAAATAAAAATTTTTAAAAGTTTGTTTAAAAGGCAGAATTACAAAGAAAGAGGGAGAGACAGAAAGAGAGGTCTTCCATCCACTGGTTCACTCCCAGGAGCTTCTTCTAGGTCTCCTACAGGGGTGCAGGGAGCCGGCTTGGAAGTGGAGCCTAGACTCGAACCAGTGCCCATATGTGATGCTGGCACTTCAAGTGGCAGCTTAACCTGCTATACCAAAATGCCTGCCCCAAACCTATCCCCTCACACTGAACATGCGTACATTTTAACTTACCTCCAGCCCCATTAAATGTATTGTGCTGGTCACACTGGATTTTGGGATCATTTGAATGATACCAAGAAACTACATAGTTTGTGTTAAGCTCATTTTTATTCTAGAATTCTCCTTAAAGGTTACACTGGGAAAGTGAATGTCTATTTCCAGTTATTTGAGAATGCAAGGCTTGTAAATTTTTATATAAAGGTAAAATGAGTACCCCAGTAATTATTTTGCTTCCTGTTTTTTATACATTATCTTTGCCCAGAAAGGATGATTATAAGAACATACTTATATGAAGAGCCTTAGAAAGTTTTCGATGCTATAAAGTATTTTATTATACATGATGAATTTTGAAAAATTATAAAATGCAAGTAATAGAAGAAAATACAGATTCTCTCTGATCCTTCCACTTGGAGATAAACCCTTGCCAGAGTTCTGGAGAAGATTAGAATCTTTCATGTTCTTTTTTTTTTTTTTGACAGGCAGAGTTAGACAGTGAGAAAGAGAGATGGAGAGAAAGGTCTTCCTTTGCCGTTGGTTCACCCCCTAAATGGCCTCTACGGCTGGCGTGCTGCGCCGATCTGAAGCCAGGAGCCAGGTGCTTCTCCTGGTCTCCCATGGGGTGCAGGGCCCAAGCACTTGGGCCATCCTCCACTGCACTCCCTGGCCACAGCAGAGAGCTGGCCTGGAAGAGGGGTAACCGGGACAGAATCCGGCACCCCAACCAGGGCTAGAACCCGGTGTGCCGGCGCCACAGGTGGAGGATTAGCCAAGTGAGCCATGGTGCCGGCCTTCCTATTCTTTTTTATTAAGCATTTTTTAAAGGATAAGAATGAAAATGAAAAGGTTTTCCCACTTATTTATCTAAATGTCAGCTGCATTCCACTTTCTCGCTCTCTCTTTTTAAAGATTTATTTATTTTTTTGAAAGGCAGAGTTATGGAGAGGCAGAGACAGAAAGAGAGAGGACTTCCATCCACTGGTTAACTCCCCAGATGGCTGCAGTGGCCAGAGCTTTGCTCTGATTCAAAGCCCAGAACCTGGAGCTTCTTCTGGGTCTCTGATGCGGGAGCAGGGGCCTAAGGTTTTGGGCCACCTTCCACGGCTTTCCCAGGCCACAGCAGAGAGCTGGATCAGAATTGGAACAGCTGGGACTCAAATCGGTGCCCGTGTGGGATACTGGCACTGCAGGCAGCGGCTTTACCTGCTATGCCACGGCACTGGCCTGGCCTTTGTCCCTTTTAACTGGGCCATCAGGGTAGTACTGATGCTGGTGTCAAAGATATGACGTCCAGCCCAGAACTGACGACTTTACATGATGTAATTAATAATCATAAACAAAACAATAACCAATGTTTAAAGAGCTTGCAGTTTTTGTTAGTCAACATGCTAGGAGCTGTACACACATTGTTATGTGTAACACTCACAGGAAATTTCCAAGAGATAAGTAATATTGTCCCCATGTCACGGGAAAGAGGTTGGAGTTGGAGCTGAAAGGTCGCTAGCTAGTAAGTGAGTACAGGGGTGGCTACCCAGATCTTTCGTCTCCAACGCCTCTTAACCACCACCGTCACTTCCTCTCTGACAAGCTGCAGATTCTTAGTGTGCCTGGTGTGCCGGCAGAGGAGGCAGAGCAGGAAACTAAGGGTGTTCATCACAGCTGAGAAGCATTGCCCTGCTGTATCGGGGGCACCTCTGCTGCACGTCCGAGCCCAGGATGGCTGGCCTCTCTTAGATGTCTGATTAGAAATAAAGTCGTTGGAGCCGTCACCGTGGCGTAGTAAGTTAATCCTCTGCCTGCAGCGCTGGCATCCCATATGGGCGCAGGTTCTAGTCTCGGCTGCCCCTCTTCCAATCCAGCTGTCTGCTATGGCCTGGGAAAGTAGTAGGGGATGGTCCAAGTGCTTGGGCCCCTGCACTCATGTCGGAAACCAGAAAGAAGCTTCTGGCTTCGGATCGACGCCGCTTCAGCCATTGAGGCCATCTGGGGAGTGAACCAACGGAAGGAAGGCCTTTCTCTCTCTCTCCCTCTCACTGTCTGTAACTCTACCTCTCAAATAAATAAATTTAAAAAGAATTAAAAAAAGAAATAGAGTTGTTGACCCACCCGACCCTTGGCAAGCAGCTGCAGCTGTACCAGGTCGTGAATCCTGTGGGCTGGAGCAGAGGCCCATCCTTGTCTCAGTGGTTTTTTTTTTTTTTTTTTTTTTTGACAGGCAGAGTGGATAGTGAGAGAGACAGAGAGAAAGGTCTTCCTCTGCCCTTGGTTCACCCTCCAATGGCTGCCACGGCTAGTGCGCTGCGGCCGGCGCACCGCACTGATCCGAAGGCAGGAGCCAGGTGCTTCTCCTGGTCTCCCATGGGGTGCAGGGCCCAAGCACTTGGGCCATCCTCCACTGTACTCCCAGGCCACAGCAGAGAGCTGGCCTGGAAGAGGGGCATCCGGGACAGAATCCGGCGCCCCGACCGGGACTAGAACCCGGTGAGCCGGCGCCACAAGGCGGAGGATTAGCCTAGTGAGCCGCGGCACTGGCCTGTCTCAGTGTTCTTACGGAACGGGTTCCCAGGAAGGGTGCGTAAGGAACCTTCTCAAGAGTTCCCTGCTGGCTCTTGCCACGTGGGATTTAAGATCTTCCCAAGGGCAGGCACTTTAGAGTATAAAATAGACTTTCTCTTTTTTATAGTAATAGAGAAATTATTTTTCTTTGTTTTAGCTTAGTACTCTTGTCTAGTTGCACTGCTTTTCTTAAACTGTACTTGCTGTTTTTTCAACATAGAAATGGCTCAGCTGGGGAACTATGACAGTGGGACAGCAGAAACACCAGAAACAGATGAATCTGTGAGTGTAAGTATCTTCTGGATGAAATACCATGTTGGCTTTTCGCATTATCAGCATCTGGAGATGTTGGCTGGGTTAAACACTTTATTAGTTCAACAAATATTGATTGTGCTTCTATGTGTAAGTCATTGTGCCAGGCACTGGAGGCTTTAACCTTTTGCATCCAAAAGAAATAGAAATTAACAAAAAGGGGAAATCACATTCACACACACACACGATAAACATGAGTGAGATTGATAGAGACTGTGCACTACTAGATCATAGCATAAGCTTTACCTTAGTTTGGTTGGTTCCAAAAGATTTCTCAAGAATGTGGCACCTGAGCTGAAATGTGAGAAATTATTAGACCAGAAAAGGCGAGATTGCCTGGACACGTAGGTCCCTGTTGCTCATGTTGGTCAGCCGTTGCTTTGCTTCTCTTGTGAAGGACAATGGGAAGTGACTGAGCTCTGAATGAAGTGTGTGTGTGTGTGTGTGTGTGTGGAGCGGGGGCAGTAAACAGGGAGATGGCAATCAGAGTTACACCTTGACAGAGAGCAAGCAGAGGGGGCCAGGGGAGCAGGCAGGGTGCCCAGGCAAGCCAGGTGAGGGGCGCTGCAGAGGCACAGGGAGAGATCCTGGCTGCTGGAGCCATGCTGCTGATCTGACCCTGGAGTTAGATGGTCTGGATTCGGAAACTGACCCCGCCTCTTAGTAGCTGTAGGCAATTATTCGGTGCCTCAGTTTCCCCACCTGTGAAATAGATCGACAAGATGGCTAGATGGCAGATGTTTAGGATAATATCATATAGTCCATAATAAATGATAGCTGTTTCGTTAATTGTATTACCAAAACTTTTATAATTTTGCACGTATGGAGATTCTGTTTCCTTGGAAACCCCCAAGAAGAGCCATCAAATGGGCAATGGTGTGTGTGTTCTGGTGCCCTCTGGCACTCAGAAGGGGAGTTTCTGGGGAGATCTGGGTGACTTGGCATCATCTCTGACGTGAATGAGATCCCTCAGGTAGCGGTTAATGAGGCAGGCAGACCGTGCAGAGCCTCGTGGCCCAAAGCTATGAATGCGCGGTCAGTGGGAGGACGTGGTCCAGGCTTGAAGCTGTTTCCTGTAGGTGAGGCCTAGCTCCAGGTCTAGGCCGGGGGAAGCAGAAGAGGCACTTGGGTTGAGGGGGTCAGGTGGCCTCGAGTTCAGGGGTTGGATCTGCTCTCTGTGTAGACACTAAACTCACGCGGAAAAGCCGAGATTCAGAAGGTGCCAAAGGAAAAGAGTGGGATGGCAGTCAGGGACGACAGCTGGCACTGACTCAGAGGCGGGCAGCTTCTTCCACAGCAGACAGAGGAGAGTTCTGAGCTCTGCAAAGAGGAGCCCAAAGGCTGTAAGGGCTGTCATAGCGCTGGAATCCGTGGGCGCGAGAGAACTGTTTGCAGAAATAAGCTCTTTGTTTATGCCTGTTCTTTGAGCGTCACTTCTTAAAGAACTCTTCTTTTTGGAAATTGCTATCTACACCATGGTAAGATTTGTGATTTGTGAGGAAGGCAGAACCTCTGTGTGTGTTGCCTCGTGCCTTTTCCAAACAGGAAAGAAATAGCCCAGCTCTGGCCTGGGGCAGAGGGGCCGCCTCATCCACTGCCCCGCAAAGAGCCACTGCAGTCCATGCATCGTCAGGTGATGGGCATCAGAAGGAAGATTTGGCATTGGGATCAAATTTCAAAATGCTAACAGACAAGGATGATGATAATCGGAATAGTTTTTGAAGAAAAATTAAAATTGGGATTTTTTTTTTAAAAAGTTGGGTGTTCTTACTTCCTGGAAATGAGGGTCCACTGAGCAGTGGGGGTGGGGGGAACCGCTTCACCAGCACTGCTGTGAAAGATTCATCCTGCCAGGCCCTGGAGCCAGCACCCTGGGCTTCCCATACCAAGCAGCGTAGCACACAGTTGTGTGGCCGTGAAAATAATATCCTCAAATTCTGAAATTTTTTTTGACTTTCATGTTTTGTTTTCAAGAGCTCTAATGCATCCCTGAAACTTCGAAGGAAACCTCGAGAAAGTGATTTTGAAACAATCAAGTTGATTAGCAATGGGGCCTATGGGTGAGTAATTGAAGAAAAGCTCTCTATTGCATGTGAACACACCCGAGCGATTCACTTGTTCTGCACACTTACGTCGCATAGATGTTGTGTTAGGAGTTGACTTTTCGGGTCTCTGCTCCCACTTTATGCATGCACCCTGATTTCTTATTTGAGACTCCTCAGGAAACATACTGAATGATGGCCAAGTTATTTTAGGGAGTTGGAGAGAAAGACTTTGTGACTATCAAGTACAAGAAAAGATTGATGCATTCCTGTTTCTGCCTCCTTCATTCTGTCCCTTTGGGAAGTAAAAGTTACATGCATATTTAATAGATAACATTGTTTCATGAGGATTAGCTTGTATTTCCTGTCTGACTAGTATTCAACCTTGGTAGAAAAAAATTTAAATAAGGCTGGCTGAAAATGCAGAGCAACCCACTCTTTTGCCTTTTTGTATGATGTCAGAATTTTCAAAATGGAACTCTATGCTATGATGTCATCATGGTGTGGCTGCCTTTTGACCCATTTTTATAGGCACATAATTTCCCTCTGGTGGCATAGAGTAAATACGACAAGATCTTCCGGAGTTACTCATACGTAGTTTGGAAGGATAATTAATGTACAAACTGTGACCTGATCCATTTCAGACAGCCCCAGAGTTCTAGTTGAATTAAGAATTAATCCTAATTCCATCTGTATATGGAGAGCAATAAACAATCTCATTGACATTTATTGCAGTTTATCACACCTGTGAGCAGATGAGATAAAAGCCACATTGGTAGTGCCACAGGGTTGTTTCTCCGTATTTTTTTTTAACCTTAAATATTTTCCACACCATTTACTTAGCGAAGGACTTAAATATCTGTGAGTCCTTTCTGAGCCTCACCAGTCTGTCTTCAGGACCCTGTCAAGCAACATATTTCCTTCTGTGGCTTCTCTAATGCTTTGTGACATCATATTTTTTTTTTTTTTTGAGATATTTTATTTCCTGAAAGGGCCTCATTGAAACTTTTTGAGATCAGGAAGATCATTCCAGTGTGCAGTCGTATGTGGGTCTGTCTTGTTTAGTCTCTACTAATTGTTTTTTTACTTGATTGTCATTTTGGAGATGATCTGAGATTTTTCTCCCTTCACTGGGGAGAAGGCTGGTTTTGGGTTTAATGGACGTATGGGTGAAAGCATTGCTACGTTTTATTGGCAGTAGCATTCTGGGATAAGGTGGCACATGAAGCATCACTTTTATAAAACTTGGGCTTGTAGTCTTAGCAGTATTTGGAGTTCTAATTGGTTGAGTAAACTCATTTGTAGCACAATTAAACCACGGTAGAGTAGATGAGGTATATCACACTTTGGGGAATGGTAGGGAATATACAAGAAGTTAAACAAGCTGTGAATCAGTAAACACCAGGATGCAGGCCAAGTCAGTAATGGGCTTGCAGCTGCCTATGGGAGCCTTGCCGATCAGCCAAAACTATTTTTTTTCCTTTTGCTCTTCTCCGATTTAATCTCTCATTACATTTCTAACGGATTTCCTCTATGTTTTAATTATTTCTCATTTGAAATTTGAATGGCGCCACCCCTGTTGTTTTACCCAGTCAAAATGCTCCTATGAACTGGCTGAACAAACGGACGCCTCGGTGGGTAGATGAATCCGCTCTTCAGTGGCTCCCAGAGGTAGCTCTGTGCCAGGGTGGCTCACACACCAGTCCTGCAGCTGCTCCAGTCAGTGGGGCTGGGAACCAACCCTGGCAGAGGGGCAGGGTGTCTACCTGTCTTGCTAAACACACGAACGCACACACCAGGGTTTTCTCAAATTCTGAACTCGTGACAGTTCATGCTGTAACACCAGTTTGATAGACATCTGATTTCTCTCTGGGTTTAACACTTTTCTGACCACTCCCGGGAAGTTAAGGATCCTTTTACAGCCAGTCAGCACTTTGTAGCAGACTGATGCCTGTGTGCCGGGCCCCGTACAGGTTCCTTTCGGTCCATCCTCTTCTCGGTGGAGCCCTGTGCAGTTGTTGACCTCATTCCTACTTGCAGGAGAGGAAGGAGGGGTTCAGAGCAGTGGTCACAGAGCACTCTTGATTGCCATCAGAGCTCCTCTTCCCTGTGTGTGTTCCTTACAGCTCCTGGCCACCTTACCTGGGGGGTAGAGGTCCTACTTCGTCCACCCAGCTCTTTCACCTGGATTTGCAGTTTCAACTCTAACAAAGTGAATGTGCAAAACTAACTTTAAAATTTTTTAAGTGGAGGCTGGGGTTGTGGTACAACTGGTTAGACCCCTGCTTTCTGTGCTGGTAACCTGTGTCAGAGCAGTGGTTTGAGTCCTGGCTGTTTCGTTTCTCATCCAGCTGCCTGCTCATGCACCCGACTCAAGCCCTTGGCCCCTGCAGCTACAGAGGGGTGGGGGAAGGGGCCCTGCTGGAGTTCCTGGCTCCGAGCTTCAGTCTGGCCCCAGACTTGGCTAGTGCAGCCATTTAGGGAGTGAACCAGTGAATGGAAGACCTCTCTTTCTCTCTTTCTGTCACTCTGCCTTTCAGATAAATCTTAAAAAATATTTTTTAAGGAAAAAAAAATTGGAAAGACACAAGATTTCTCCCTTTCTATCTAAGCTTGACCTTTCGAGGGCCCAGGGTCTTTTCCTGAAGAGCCCCGCCTGCGGAAGTGGGCGTGGCCTGCAGGCTCTCCCTGCAGCCTGCCTCTCACTCCAGGAGCAGAGGCCCTAGGCTGGCGTCCTGTGCGAGGCTCCCAGGCTCATGCATAATTCCACACACCTCAGGCATTCACAGTCCTGTTAGGCCTGATTCCTTCTGCCCTAGATCCTGCAAACCATTTCTGCCTGCCCTGCACACCTCGTTCTGCAGTTCTGCACGGTTGGAAGCGGCCTGGCTCAGTGACGACAGAGCCCCTTGTTGTCTCTCTAGCGTTCTCCTTCACCCCCTCTGGTTTCCTTGTGTCACAGGTCGCTGAGGGACAGAAACAGAAGTGGCCTTTCCAGAGAAGGCAGGAAACAGGGAGATGTGGGGCCGGGTGAGCTTGGTGTGGTTTTATAACATCAGGAGGTTTACAGTCCGCTTACCGGAGGTCGATGTCTGCTCATCAGCGGCTGACTGTCTTCCCCTGTCCTCCTCCTCTTCCTCCATCCCTTGCTCTCTGCTGACTTAATTTGGAAGATGCACTTATCAGAAAGGAGGAAAAGTGTACGTGAGACACATAAACAAATTTCAGCCTGAACGGTGATATTCCTAAAGCAGTGCAGGTGTATAAAAAGGCAGAGAGCACAGAACAAAACAAACAAAACCCAGCTATAGCAAATAATAATTAGGACCTCAGGTTGATTTCTGCAACTGGATCCAGACATGCACGAATGTCCTGAGGCAGCAATTTCTCCAGGCACCTTGAGGATTAACTTCAATTGGTTTAGGTCAGTTTCCCGAAGGAGTAACTGATTATTTTAAGTACATCATAGCAAAGGAAAGAAGAAGGTCAAACCAAATTTTGTCGACTGAAAATCTGAGACTACAGATTGCAGCCATTTTTCACCCAGTGTCACAGACAGGCCCTGTCATGTGCCCGTCTGATGTGGGCCTGAGGCTTCTTTCGCCTTTATGCCTCCATGAAATTCTGTGCACTCCTGTTCTTCCTTCTGCACCTCCTGTGTTCACAAACGTCTTAGTGAAAATCTAAATGGCAACTTTGTCCTGGTCGACATAGATTTGTAATATGTCTCAAGGGCCTAAGCACTGAACTTGCAAAGTGTTCAATCCTGAAGGAAGACATGGAAAGTAAGTATTCCCCTTGACCCTCAAGAATAGGCAAGCTGGGAGTAGGTGGGTAGTCTGGTGCTGAAGTACCTGTGTTCCACATTGGAGTGCCTAGATTTGATTCCTGGCTCTGGCGCCCTACCTCAGCCTCCTGCCAATGCAGGCCTTGGAAGGCAGCGATGGGTCAAGTATTTGGGTCCCTGCCACCCATGAGAGAAACATGGGTTGAGTTCTTGGCTTCACCCCAGGCATTTTAGAAGTAGACCAGCAGATAGGAGCTTGCTTTCTTTCTCTTTCTCTCTGCCTCTCAAATAAAAAACAGTTTGTAAAAGAAATAGACAAGTGATAATGGGAATTTAGTGATTTTTTTTCCTTTCAATGTTTTAAATTCTGAATCTCATTAAAAATTAGATTCTCTCAGAAATCTTTCTTAATGACATATTTGTTTACCAATGCTTATTTTATATTTAAGGGAGGGCCGAGTTATTTTCTGCACTTCTTTGTATCTATCTTGACATCCTGTTGTTATCATCTGATTAAGACCAGCTCAAAATTATCCTAAGAACAGCTCAAATTATCCGTGGATTCCTCATTTTATCCAATTGGTAATTAGATAAACAAAAAGATAGTAAATGCCTTTAATCTGTGACAGAAAGAATTAGTGGTTTGTTGGTTAGCTGACTAAAATGTTGATCAAAGTAGGAAATCTTTTTTTAAAAAATATTTATCTATTTGAGAGGCAGAGTTACAGACAGACAGAGGGAGAGATGAAGACAGACAGAAAAGTCTTCCACTCCCCAAATGGCTGCAATGGCCAGAGCTGGGCTGATTTGAAGCCAAGAGCCAGGAGCTTCTTCTGGGGCTCACATGTGGTGCAGGGACCCAAGCACTTGGGCCATCTTCTGCTGCTTTCCCAGGCCATTAGCAGAGAGCTGGATTGGAAGAGGAGCAGCCAGGGCTCTATCCAGCGCCTGTATGGGATGCTGGCACCACAGGCGGAGGCTTAACCAACTATGTGCCGACCCCAAAGTAGGAAATCATTAAAAACACACACACACACACTTTAAACATTTCAATGTAACATAAACATATGAATACCTACAGCTCTTTTAGTAAAGATAGCCAGTAGAAATCAAACTCACACCGTTTCTGTTTTCCAGTTTTAGCTTCTTTACAAGTAAAGCAAGTACCTTAAGTAAACTGAATGTAGCAATTTCAGTTTCTATTCTTTTTCAACTTTTAGAAACCTTACCTGCACTAAGTCAGTAGTAATTGTATTTCCTAACTCACATAAAGACTTTCCAAAACATTCATTCAGTCTTCTTACAAACAGTTGTGCTTTTTCTTTTTCATGCTCCTATTTCATCAGCTTAAACATTGTTTAAAGTAGTTATCCTTGGCCTCAAGGCTAGCCAGGAAACAGGTATGGGGATAAATTCAAGCTGCAGGAGTCCCATGTTTGGGCATCCACCCCAGACCAAGTGCAAAGGGAGAGATGCCCACCTGACTGGCTCCCAGAGGAGCGCACCAGGTTGTCCTGTGAGCTGGTCATATGGAGTGTGGTTGAGAGAGCTTTTGAATTACAGTGAAGGAAGATCTAGAAAATCAAAGAAATGCGGAAGAAGGGGAACAAAGCAAAAAAAATTTAGATACAGGTAAAAAATGTAAATGTGTGATTTTGAGAGTGAAGGATAAAGATGAATAGAGCAAAAAAAAAAAAAAAAAGATGAAGGTGAAGGTTTATAGACTGGGCTCAAAAGAAAGCAAAATAAACTTCTTCACAGAACCCTGAGGGGCAGTGTTGATGCTGATTAAGCCGGGTGGAATATGCTTGCGATTCAAGTTTGTTGGATCACGTTCCTCTCTTGGCTCCGCAGGAGCAGAGGGTGTCCTGGGCCCACTTGCAGTCATTGTTTCGGGACAATGAAAATCTAACTAGAGGAAAAGACATCTCAATTCCCAGAACTCCTTATTGTAGAAGGAAGGCCCCTGGATACTTCCTGCCACTGGTGGCTTTCCGTGTCATTTATTTCTTATTTGATCATCGCCTAACTAGGAAGTTCAAACCTGTTGTCTCAGGATGAGGACAAGCGAGAGTGACTTAAAAGGAGCTCATCATCTCCAGGTGGGGCTTTAATTGACCTCCCCTAAGGACCGCCATCCCCTGCAGCATCCCAAGCCTCAGGCGGTCGGGCATCTCCATCCAACCGGCACTGGCTCTGGGAAGTACTTGGCAGAGGCCGTAGACACGGATCGCGTGCAGCCTCCGTCTGGTCATTTATGGGAAGGTCGCCCGGCACCGTGACTGGATGTCAACCGCAGCATCGCCAGCCTCCTTTGAGGCTGGGAAAAGCATTTCCTGTTGAAGTAGGCGTAGGGGTCGCACAGGGCAGAGTCCCTAGTGAGCAAATGTGCAACTCTATTGCCCAACAGTCTCGTAGGACCTGTCACACACTTCTCATTTATCTGGAAATCTCGTGGAGAGTAAATTACTCCCAACTGGAAACCAGCAAGTGGAGGAAGCTGCGGTCATTGTTGCCGATCTCAAGGGAATCATTCAGAAAGTTATTGCTTTAGTCAGTGAGGACAAACTGCCTAACATTTTAGAGAGGATTTAGCTCATGCTATGTACGTGATCTTCTTAATTCTGTCCTGTTTTGACATATATCGCATTTTGTTTTGTTTGTGGAAAAACCGAAAACCTCAGCTAGCTATGGGAAAAGGCTCCTCCTGGCCATGGTCCATTGCCTTCAGTTGGCAGTGAAGAGGAATTGGATGCCTTGTGTATGACCTGGGACCTTTTTGGAAAGAATTTTTTAAAAGTCAGTTTAAGCAAAAGATGTGCCCGCGGTGCACTCACTGGCGGTGGGAGCGGAATTCCAGCTGCCACGTGACCTTAAAGCAGTTGGTGCTCACGTGATTGCCTGCATCCCAAACACTTCCTTACCTCCTGTCTCCTGTGAACACCTATCCCTGTGCTCCTTTGCAGGGCAGTTTACTTTGTTCGGCATAAGGAATCCCGGCAGAGGTTCGCCATGAAGAAGATTAACAAACAGAACCTCATCCTTCGAAACCAGATCCAGCAGGCCTTTGTGGAACGGGACATCTTGACGTTTGCGGAGAACCCCTTTGTGGTCAGCATGTATTGCTCCTTTGAGACCCGGCGCCACTTGTGCATGGTCATGGAATACGTGGAAGGTAAATCCATGGCTGGCACTGGGAACGCCACACTCATTTGTGTCGTGGAAGCTTCTTGTGGTTGTGCCAAGTTATTGCCGTGTGCACCAAGGAACCAAAGCCAGGCAATGCGGTGGCTGGATTCCCAGTCATTATCTTCTGATAATTGCTTGTACACTGCCTGCTCTACCATAGCAAAGAGAAAAATTAGTGCTGTTTGGAAAAAAAGACTGTTTTTTTAAAAGTAGCTTTTAATTCTAACTCTCTCCTCTCAATTGTTCATTAAAGTTGGAATACAGGTGATGGGATTTTTCCTACTTATATCATAAAAGCATTCGTTGTAACTGGTTTTCTTCAAGAATGAATTAAAAATCCAGCCTTTTTGGTCTAGGGTATGACATTTAAAATATGGGGAAAAGAGATCCATTCAAGAAGATCCAGCTAGTTCTCCTGAGTTTCCTTTTCCCCCCTTGTTTAAAGTTGTGCTCCAACTTTTAACTGCTCCAAGTGATCTTAAGTTTCCAAGTTTTATTTGAATGGCCATGACTTGTTGGCAAGGAACAGATGAGGAGAAGCCACAGCAGTCTTCAGGGCCTCTATAGACGTTGTTGTCAATGTTTGAACAGAAAGCCAAAACTGTAAACCTCCAAGTAATGCTAGCGGTCTTTCAGTTAACTTCATTTTGCAGATGAGTGAATGAAGTCCAGGAAAGGAACCTTGCTTGATACTGAGCCATGGAGAGAGACATGAACATAGCTTTTGCCCAATTTGCAACTATTGTTTTTTTTCCAACACACTGATACTTCATTAGCCTTTAGTGTCCTCTTTATAATAGCAACAATAACATTTGTCGTTTGTTGAGTATGTATTGGGAAGTAGCCTAAATTCTTTCCAGTTTGGTTACACCATATAATCTTCACAATCCTGCCACCATGAGCATGTAGATATTATAGATGAGGCAACCAAGAGTACTGTGCCCAAGATCTCTCCTCCTGTGAGAGGAAGAATCAGGAGGGACTCGGGTAGCCTTATTTCAGAGGCTTTTATTCATATACTTTAAGTGTTTTTTTACGATTTTAATATTTCTACTTTAGATTCAGATCTGCTCTTGTGAATGCTGCCTCTTAGACAAAAGTCTGTACTTTTTCCATGCCACGTCTTAATTCGAAGCATGACTGCTTAACATCCAGCTTCCACTTAGGACTGACTTGCTGTGTCTGCGTGGAGATGCTCTTGCTTTCAAAGTCTGCAGTCTGAACTGATGGTTTTTTAATTGTAGCTGACACTACACCTACTAAATCTATTTCCTGTGTTTTACAGGTGGAGATTGTGCTACCTTGATGAAAAACATGGGTCCTCTTCCTGTTGATATGGCCAGAATGTATTTTGCTGAGACAGTCTTGGCTTTGGAATACCTACATAATTATGGCATTGTACACAGAGATTTGAAACCAGACAAGTATGTGCACTGATGGAACATGTCTTCTTTTACACAATGCAGAAAGTTTTTTTATGTCTATAAAATGTTTTCTTTTAATATGATTTACACATTTAAAGCTTCTTCCATAATGTTCAAAATGAACTGTTTTGACAGTACAGTAAGGTAATGTTTGCATTTCTTTAAAGCCTATGATATGGGTAATAATAACTTATGGGAAATAAGAGACAGAGATGACTACAGATCCAGAGTTGGTTAAGGTTTTAAAGTTCTTTTTATGATATAAACTTTTCTAAATAGTTTCTGCATTTCTGATCATATTTAAACAAACCTTCCCTATTCTAAGATGATATACTTGATATTTTATTTTACTCACAATTTAATTTTTTATTAATTTTTAATTTATGAGGAGTTCAATTTGCTATCTGATTTGAGATAGATAGATGATTTTCCCCCAAATGACTATTCATCCTGATACCATTTATTAAATATTTCATGCTTCTCTACTAATTGGGCTGACTCTACCAACATTACATGCTAATATGTAAAGACATTAACTGTGCTGAAAATTTTATGATAAAATTGACTCATGATCATGTCAAGAAAATTTGGAAAGTGCAGTGAAAAAAGAATTTCATTCAGAATATTACCAAAGGCAACTATTAGAGTTTAAGCCTATTTTATTCCATTAGCTTTTTTTAACTACTCTATTCCTTTAATCTTTAATTACTATTATACCATATATGCTATTTACAATTTTTATTTTTTGAAAAATTTTATATATTTTTCAGTTTGATTTTTTTGCATGTATAAGAAATACAGGTTTTGTCCTTAAAGAGTAGAAAGTATCAATAGAGCTGGAAGTTGAAATAAACAATATATTTTTCTGTCTGAGTTATCTTCTATCTCATTTGAATCACAGATGGCTTGCTTATCTTAATTCTGATCTGTGACATGGGATTATTGGTGGCTCCTTCCTTTCTATGTACTTATTCTGAAAACAGAAATGGGTCAGACTTCTATATTTGTCTTTTTCTTAGAGTTTCAGAGGAAACTCATAAATGACACTGTTTGGGGCTGCTCCAACAGAGATGAGCTATGCCTTGTGAACTGGACCCAGGCGTTAGATGCACAATTCAACATCTTTGTGTGACCTCATCTCTTCCCAGCCAGGATTTTGTAATCAGGTCGATACCAATAGCTGTTGAAGAGCCTTGCAAAATGACAGGGGAGGAGGGAACCTAAATCCGAGAACAAGCTTCAGAATGACCGTTGTATGCCATTTCCTTCTGCTTCGCAGCTTGTTGGTCACCTCCATGGGGCACATAAAGCTGACAGATTTTGGATTGTCTAAAGTGGGACTAATGAGCATGACCACCAATCTTTATGAAGGTCATATTGAGAAGGATGCTCGAGAGTTCCTAGATAAACAGGTAGGACTGGATGCTCTTCTACTCTGGAGAAATACGAGGTACGGCATTGCCAATGAAATTCACAGTCAGCTTGGGTAGGCCATCTTCACATTAGCACCGGCGCTTTAGATGTCTGTATCAGCCTTGCATTTAATAAAGTGCAAATTGCTCCCATTTTTCTCCCTGGGCCTCTTTGAACTGTCCAATCCCTCCACATTCCTCCCCCAACATTATGGTCTATTAGCAAGATGAACGATCTCATTGCACACAAGTGAGAGTGTGAGAGAGACAAATGGAAAACTGTTTTTGTAAGGATTTCAGGAGTCTCAGTAGAGTACTAGGGAAACTCATGATGCATCGTACAATCACGGGTGCTAAAATCCGAGCCATGGCCCATTTCCCTTCAAGCATGCCTCATTACCATGCACACACAATCTGTTCATTGTAAAGTTACTTAAGGTGAACACATCTCAACTGTCATGCTTTTATGAAATGACCAGGGTGTGAATATATTTTGGTCACATGTATACTTAAACTATCTTTGATAGTGGCAGACTAATCAATGCATTATTATTTTAAGTATTATACATATTTTTATACATGTTCTTAATATCATAACATAGACACAACTTCCAAAACAGGATGTGATTTTCAATTTGAAATTAGACACACGCATAATTTAACATAGGATCAGAATTTGGAACTTTCCTTCTTCGATATTAAAGTGATAATTTGCCCAGTATTATTGATGTCTGCTTATAATTGCTGTTCTTAAATGCTTTCTCCATGCAGTTCCACGTCATTGAGCAGGTACACTGTGGGCCAAATAACTGATGTTTAGTCATCTCCCTCATTTAATTCATGTCTAGTATTCCAATTATTCTAATATTGTAATCATCTTCTAGGTCTGTGGCACACCTGAATACATTGCACCAGAAGTGATTCTAAGGCAGGGCTATGGGAAGCCGGTGGACTGGTGGGCCATGGGAATTATCCTCTATGAATTTCTGGTTGGATGCGTGCCATTCTTTGGGGATACGCCAGAAGAGCTATTTGGACAAGTCATCAGTGGTGAGTATCATCAGGAGTTATCTTTAAGCCCCTGTTGGGAAACAGCTATTTATTATCAATCTGTTGAGTATCGTAGTTCTTCCTACTAAAATGTTCACCTTTATCAAATAGTTGAGCCAACAAATTAAGAGAACTCACTCATCATAGCACATAACTGACTTTCACAATCTCAAGAGAACAATGTGTGTTGAAAATTGATCTGAGGACGTTTTGTTAGCATGGCATGTGGAAATGTACTGGCGATGGAACCAACTTTTATAGTGTGCATTTTTGGAAAAGAAATTGGTGTGGGACTTGCAAATGATTTAACTGCTGTCCGGTTTTCCTCTTCATAATAGGAACATTGCACCAGGGAAGAAAAGGTTAATGTGGGTAACATTTATATAAATGGGAAAAATGGCTAATGGCACAACGAAGAAATTAACAAAAATGTAATAAACCTAAAACAAATGTCTACCAAATAATAAATAATGAGAATGGGAAGGAAGCAAATTGAATCCACAGATTGTTAATGATTTCATTGGTAGTTGTTATGGTGTAATGTTATTTCTGTAACAGCTGTTCATCTTTCATTTAAAATTCAATAACCTTTAGATCTTAACCTGCAAGCTGACCCTAACTATTGTTTTGCGGCTTGTGGCAAAACTAAATGATAATTAAATAGAATCTCTCATTACCCTACCTGCTGATTTTATAAATTTCCCTGAAGCTTAGATCACAAATTCTGCTCATCTTGAAACTTTGTCAGGCACCACTGACATCTCCATCAGCCACGTCCGGTCTGTTCTGGCTTGTGCTTACAAGGGCCAGCAGGGGAGATAGGGGAGGAATTCATCTGTGCGGAGCCCCTTAATCACAATATTATTTTCTATCCTTGACTTTGCAAGCCAGGCAAAATTTGTAAACTTGAACAAAGTAGATTTGGGAGCTGCCTACCGTGTATAACCCCTTTGCACAATATCTGAGCTATTTATGGATTTATAACTAGACTGCTTTTCTGAGACACCAAGGCCTGCATGGCAAGGGGAATCGACTGTTTAATTAACACAAGCAGCAAATGCTGGCTTTGTTCTTGATGCCTTACGGCTCAGATGCATATTCATGTTTTATTTTCCAAATCAGATTTAGACTGCAGCAGAGGAAGCTAGAGGCAGGCACACACAGATATAACTCATGTTTTTATTGCATTTCTATACACACAAGCACGCACACCTATCTTCAGGCAAACTCTGTTAGAATAAGAACATATTCTAATATTTATGACAGATTTTAAATGTTTCCATTGCTGTGATGACTCTGGCATCCCCTTCCCCACCCCCTTCCTCTTCCATCTTAGCAGGTTGACCCTTCCTTTGTCTCTGGAAATATTTCAGTTTGCTCCTTGGAGCTATGGCCAGATTCTCAGTATAGGACAGCAAGAGAAAGACTCACTCTTAGATGAGCATTGGATGGGAGAACACCTGAAACGTGGGTGTTTGAGTTTCCCTTATTCTTTTTTTTTTTTTTGACTGGCAAAGTGGACAGAGAGAGAGAAAGGTCTTCCTTTTCCATTGGTTCACCTTCCAATGGCCGCCGCGGCTGGTGCACCGCGCTGATCCAAAGGCAGGAGCCAGGTGCTTCTCCTGGTCTCCCATGGGGTGCAGGGCCCAAGCACTTGGGCCATCCTCCACTGCACTCCCGGGCCACAGCAGAGAGCTGGCCTGGAAGAGGGGCAACCGGGACAGAATCCGGCGCCCCGACCGGGACTAGAACCCAGTGTGCTGGCGCCACAAGGCGGAGGATTAGCCTAGTGAGCCGCGGCGCCGGCCTTCCCTTATTCTTCTTAATAACTAGAAAGAGCAACTTGTTGGGAACCAAGCTGCCAAAGAAAAATAGATCAAAACAGGGAATGACAGATCCTACTTCTAGAAATATCCTTCCCTACCTTGTAGAAAGCTGGGCTTTCATATTTAGAACACATGTAGTGCTTTCTCACCCTTGGTTGTGTGTAGGAATCAACTGAAGACCTTGCTAAAATGCAGGTCCTGATTCAGGAGGACTGGGCTGGGGCCCGAGCGTCTGCATCTTAACGCCCACGTCATGTCCACAAGATCACAACCTGGACCACCCTCTGACAAACCAATAAACTGGCAAACGATTTGTCTTCCTTCCAGATGAGATCAACTGGCCTGAAAAGGATGAGGCCCCACCGCCGGACGCCCAGGATCTGATCACCCTGCTTCTCAGGCAGAACCCCCTGGAGAGGCTGGGAACAGGTTAGAGCACATGAGTTCTGCTTTGGCCTATCCGCGTGTGCGAGAAGCCACGTCCTTGTGGAGGCAGCTAAGGCTCCTGCTTAGGTTTTGCTTCTGCACAGGCAGCATCTGTCAGGTGATGTAGGACATGAATGCAGCACATTCTGACAGCATGATTCTGAGTTTTAGATTCTGATTCAGAGCCGTCTGTACACAAGGAGCGTGGCTTGTCGTCTTGGTGTTTTGTTGTTTTTGTGTTTTGCATACCAAAAATTATTTTTAATTAGTTTCAGTAAGTAAAAACTTCTCTGACAGAAACCCTCAAAGGTACATGTAACTCTTCCATCCTGAAAAAAAACGAACATCTTAACTAATTTGAACTGGGATTAAATAGATGGAGCTCTCTGTTTTTGCTTTTTAATACATTCCCATAAAGATTTGACCCAGCAGGTTACTATCCATAGGCTTTGGAATGGTTTATCAGTCCTCAAACTAATTACTAGAAATGAGTGCCTGCGGTTGAGCCATGATGTCCTATCGTGGTGATCAGCACAGGGCCCCAGAGAGAGAGAGAGTTAAAAAACACTGCCTTTCGAGATTAAGGGGATAGATTTGTTTCTTGGTGCTTATTTTTCCTGACTCTTCTCCAAGTTTTTTTTTCTGCTTCCTTTTCTCCCCTATATTCTGAATAGACAGACTCAGAGCCCAGTGTAGAGTCCCAGGAAATGAATGTGTCTAGACAAACTAAAATACTCAAACGAAGTGCTCATCCTCTAGCCAGTATCCCTAAGTTTTGTTGGCTTGGTGGATTGGTTACACTGAGCTGTTTTATTCTACCCTGCTTTCATAGAAATATCAGAAAATACAGAAGAAACTGTTATCTCCATTTTTTTTCCAAGACAAAAATCATTTGCAACAGCTCCAAATATTTACTGTAGATGATTCTCTACCAGTGCCCTCAGTTTCTGCTGTTTTAGGCCTCCAGTCGAGTCTACCGGTGGAATGCAGTGTTACTGGAGTTTCTCATACTGCCTTAGAACAGGGCTCAGCAAACTGTGACCGTGGGACAAATGTGGCCTCGTGCCTGTTTTGTGTAAATGAAGTGTGATTGAAACTCAGCAATGTCCGCTCTCTTGACATATTGTCTGTGGCTGATTCCAGGCTACAGAATTGCATGGTCATAGCTGACCGTGTGGTCCACAAAGACTAAATCATTCACTATTTTGCCATTTATACAGAAAAGTATTATAGACCTTGCCTTGCAGAATCCAAGGTGGTTTAAAAATCAGTTTAACTGAGAAGGTTTTTTGAACCTCGCCTCTTCCTGGAGTGCTGTGTGCGTTTGCTGTTCACTTTTCTAAGTGGAACAGACTTGTAACAGGAAAGCTAGGGATACATTGTGACGAAGGGCACACACTCCAGTCAGGTTGCGCAAATGTACATCTTGGCTGTGTGACAATGGGTAGGTTACTTCCTTTTCTGTTCCTCATCTGTAACAAGGACCTTTGAGAAAGTCCCCACTCACCCGATTCTTGGGAGCGGATAGGGAGATCATCCACAGAAGGCTCTTTGAACCCAGTGGGACACTGTTGCTGCTGGTGCTGTCATTTGAAATGTTCTGCGTGTAGACTCAAATGCTTTCCTCTTGGGAACTCCAAGGCACAGAAATGGCAGCGGTAGCCCCGCCTCTGAGCTGATTGAATTCTTTGAACTGAGTACGTTATAGTCTCTCCCTCCCTACCCTATGTTGCTTTTCTGCTTGTCTGAAGTGCCAAGCAGTCTTGCTGTTTCCCACCCTCTCTGGCCTGCAGTCTTTATCTGCTTTCTGGTTCAAGGGGTAGGAGAAGCTGTCAAAGAGCTGGTGTCAAGACTGTGGATGGGCAGTGTTTGAAGGAGTGATCTCTTACCCACTTGAGCCAACTATGAGGAGCAGTGACATTTGAAGATTGTCCTGCAATAATGCAAACGTCTATTCACAGGTCCTGTTCAACTGACCCAGAGAGAGGTCATCCTTAGATCCGACTCGGATCATATTGTATTAGAACAGCACAGGGAGTCCTCTCCTTCAGTGTTCACATGTCAGCGTGCAGCACCTCTCTGCTTCATATGCTTCCATTTCTTTCCTCCAAGAACACCCGGAGCCTTGGTTGCACTTGACTAAACGAGCCAGGCCACGATAACGGTCAGCATCTCTGTGTTGATCTATCATCTGCTGCCAGTGCTGTCTCTGCACGTGTTCTTGTGGGCTGTTGCTCTCGGGCTCTTCAGCATTTGACAGCCGGAGGAACACATCTCCTAGCAGACGCCCAAAAGAGACATTTAAAAGGCCCTGCCCAAGCTCTTAGCATTGTCAAGGAGTGCTTGCCAAATAGGCAGGTCCAACGTGACAGGTCCCAGGAGGGCCCGGAGAATGAGGCTAAGAATCCCGCGGGCCTGCCATGTTGCCTCCAATGACAGCATTTTGTCTTTAATGCATATTTAGCGGGCAAAATAATGCACCGTGAAAATGTGCGAATGCACATTTGCCCAAGAGACTAGAGAAGCTGCGAAAAAGGGTGTGAAGAACATAATGGATGTTTAAGAAACTTCCATGAGAGGAGAGAAAAAACTCCAGGGAGAATGTTAGTGCCAAAGCATAGCTTGCAATTTGGGTCCTTGTCCTATTCAATCTTTGCTTTTGAACATCCAAAAAACAGAGTGGCAGCCTGGCTCATCGGACTTCAGAGCTGCCCAGGTGGACTAACACCTCTGAGCCAGCTGGGCGGCCTTGGGTTGGTTCCTCGGTGCCCTGAGTCTGTTTCCCACTCTGTGAAAATGGGTATGTTATCTACCATGTAGGATTTTTGTGAAAAGTAGGTGCAAACATTTTGATGGCTTCTAGTATGTTAACTTAGTGCATAATGAGAGCCAAATAAATCAGGTTTCCTGTTCCTTGTGAAATATTAAAGAGCGACCGCTGTCATTTGCATGTATGGTTGGTATTTAGCACAGAGGTCATTTCCCCCAATTTATCCTTTTCCTTATCTCTAAGTACTTGAGAAATAGAACCAACTGATAACCAACCTCTCAGGCACCAACACCACAGGGTGGGCCCGTTGGGCTCTGAGTCCTTGGGGACCCCCACTTGTCATTGTCCTCAGAGATGGTGAAGTGCATACTCTCAGCGTCCTGGGCCCTAATGGCTGCAGGCAGGGGAGTGAACCCCAACAGTCAGGACTGGCGGCCTTGGTGGCCTTGTGGCACAGAGGGTTAAGCTCCTGCCTACAACACTAGCGTCCCATATGCGAGTGCCAGTTCAAATCTCAGCTGTCTTGCTTCTGGTCCAGCTCCCGGCTAATACACCTGCAAAAGATGATGATGGACTAAGTGCTTACACACCTGCCACCCATGTGGGAGACCCAGATGGAGTTTCTGGCTCCTGGCTTTCACCTGGCCCTGTGCTGGCTGTTGGGGCCATTTGGGGACTAAACCAGCAGATAGAAAAAAAATCTCTCTACTCCTTTCTCTACCTTTCAAAATAAATAAAAGTAGGAAAACTCAACACTCTGTCAATGACCTGGAAGTGCCATTGTTTGTAATTACATATTTGAGAGGCAGAAAGCGAGTACCCATTCTCTGGCTCACTCACTAAATGCATGTGACATCCAGAACTGGGCTAAGTAAGCCGGAGCTGGGAGCTGGGAGCTCCATGCAGGTCTCCCTTGTAGGTTTCAGGGCCTCAACTACTTGATTATTTGCAGCCTTCCAGGGTGTGCACTTGCAGGAAGCTGCAATCAGCAGTGGATCTGGGACTTGAATATAGACACTTGATATCAGGTGTAGGTGTTCCAACCAGAGTCTTAACGTCTAGGTGAATGCACCCCCCTAGCAGTGCCACTTGAGCCCTAGAGACACTGTTCTTCCAGGAGGCTTGAGCAGAACCCAGAGAGTGTGTGAGCTGCACCATGGTCTGGCTTCAGGCACAGCAGCTGCAGCGAGGCACTGTGGGACACTGGCTGGACTCGGTGTCCTCTGATTAGAGCTTGACTCGGCTGCACCTCCTGGCATCAGTAGGGTGAGGGAACGGAGAAGGAAGCGTTTAGGCCCTGTTAGCTTCCACATTGTGCTTCTCTGCATAAAACGATACTGACAGCTGGTTTGGGGCCATGGCCTGGGGCTGGATGAGACCTGGGGTACAGGGAGGACTCAGAGGGCTATGGAACAACCACGTGCATGGGCTTTTAGGCTCAGTACAGAATTCATGTGCTAATGCCTGTGAAAGAGATGGTGGAGTAGGAGCAGCTAACACATGCCTTCCCCTTTGTGGGATGTGTGCCATGCATGGAGCTTGGGTTTGGGTGTCTTCAGACAGACCTAGGTTCAGCCCCTCACCCTCTGGGAGCTCTTGGTCCACTGTACCTTACTGCTTGGTCTTAGTTCCCTCTTCGGGCTGGGGAAACAAAGGCCTACTTGGTGGAGTTATTTGCAATGATTGAATTGATGAAAACAAGATCTCTTTAGTATCTCGTTGACCTTGAGAGCGTGGCTGCTGCTGGTGCTGCTGTGTGATCAACATCAGACTGCAGTCTTTTCTAGAAACTTGGAAAATGCCTGGAGCTTTGTAGAGAGGCATCCAGCTCCCCTCCCCCCAACATACACACAAACACACACACACACACACCCACCCACCCACCACACTTTTGGAGGAGGGGATGATTTCCCCAATCTGCTGGTTTTTGTTTTTTGTTTTTTTTCTTCTCCATTCCTTTAGATGGACACCTTCCCCTGGCAGGTTTGGGGCTCTGTGGAGACAGAGCCTCATCTCTGAAGTACCCAGGGAGCACCAGCCCCCCACAGCCAAGGTCTGCAGCCCATTTTCCATGTGACTCGCATTGCTCATCTGCCTCCTTTTGTATCCCACAGAGGATAGGATGAGAGCCCGGGTGACCACTGCCAGACACAGGCATTTGTGTTACACCTAGCGGGGCTCTCCCGGCAGGAAGGCTGATTAGACGGCCGTGCACTCTTCTGAGCAATCGGTCTTCCTAGTGCGTTCCTGGGATTGAGTCTTTGCTCTCCCCTCGTCAACAGCATGTGAGCTGGTGCCAGGTTGGGGCCTGGTTCTGCTGTGGTTTTATAGCGCGCTTCTTTTTATATGGGGTGCGGTGATCATCTCTTTGATGAGGTCTGCCCTTCAAACGTGTTCTTTAAAAGGGGGAACTGAATTAAAAAAACATTTCACCTAATTGTGCTATCATGCTGAGTTGGCAAAAGGAAGCCAAAAACTTGGGAATTATGATTGATTTGTACAGGCTGCATTATCAATCTTAGCAAACAGGTTTTATATTTGTTCCTTAAGAATCTGTAATCCATGGAATCTCATTCCTTACCTATGTTAATGAGCAATCCGATAACACTGAATGGTAACCATTATATAGCATTTCGAAAATATTCGTCATTCTTAGCCTTAGCTCCAGAGGATGTATTGCTGGGCACACAGTTTGCACCTTGTTAGGATTTCTCTGGGTTGTAATGAGGGAGTCTGCTTTGGGCCAACGTGCGTCCACACCCCCAGGTTCAGCGTAATGTGATTTTAAGTGGCCACATCATTAACCTTTGAAAAATGGAGGAAGTCATGAAAAAATTAACAAAGAAAAACTGCGCCATAGCAACTGCCATTAGTGAAATCAAGTCTCCTGCTGATCAATTATGGAGAATTCTTTTTGAGTTTTGCTTGTGGAATGAAAAAAGGATGATTTCCCATGACTTCTTTATTTCTATGCTGCTAGCTTTCTCTAAAAAAAAAAAAAAAAAATTGTTCTTAAAACCTGCTGTCAACGTTTGCTCGGAGGATAGTTTAACACTTTCGATCTCTACCCAATCCGCCTTCCAGGTGGCGCGTACGAAGTCAAGCAACATCGATTCTTCCGTTCTTTGGACTGGAACAGTTTGCTGAGACAGAAGGCAGAATTTATTCCCCAACTGGAATCCGAGGACGACACTAGCTATTTTGATAGTATGTGCATTATCTGACATAAAATAGTCACTGTTGGGCCTTTACTTTGTAAAACATTATCCTGCCTTTGAACCTTCCAGGCTGATACCTCTGGGGTCTTAAACATAATGGTGATTTGATCCAGGCACTCATATAATTAATTAGACTTTCTAAACCAGAAGCTGAGATTTGTAGTGACTGGGACTGTTCCCGCACATTTCTCTGCAGCTCGGTCAGAGAAGTATCATCATATGGAAACCGAAGAGGAGGATGACACCAATGATGAAGACTTCACCGTGGAGATTAGGCAGTTTTCCTCGTGTTCACACAGGTTTTCAAAAGTAAGTGTGGCATGCGCCCAGGTCGGTCTCGGAGGACCTGCCACCAGCCAGACGGCTGGCACCCTTGCAACGTCTGGACAGGATTGTAAATCCCCCGCGCTTTTGGGGGTCTGAGGCCTCTTGTGCCTAAAAATCCTGTTTAGGAAGAGTGACCCTCGCCCCTACTTGGTGCAGGCTCCCGACCTCGCTGTGAATGTTATGTTTCTGTCTCTCTGCAGTTAGTCCTTTTCTCTCAGAGGCATAGCCTGGTGTGCAGAGTCCGCTCTTTGGAGCCTGTGGTAGCCATTGCCACGACGACCTGGCCTTGCACAGCCCCCGTCCTAGCTCACGAGTCGGGCTGTGGAGGCCCCACCCCATCTCTTTCCTCTTGGAATGAGAACTGTGCTCTTCACCCTGTGCCGGGCACAGAGCAGCCTCAAAGCTCGAGGCACACAAGGATGCTTAGGGCCAGCTCCTTGGGGAATGGGAAAGTCTCATAATCAGGAAGACACACTGTAAGTTGTGGGGAAAAGCAGAAGGAAGCCATGCTAGAATTTTGGAAGTGGTGGAGGCTCATAAGATTGGTGCTTGAGAAAGGCGCTTTCTTGTTGATAGCAATAGGGAGAAAAAGCAAAGAAAACTGATAGTTTTGAGACAAGGTGGAGCCCTAGAAATAAACCTTGAGGGAAGCCTACCTCCCCTTTGTCTCACTAGCTACATATTTTCTGTTGCCATGGCATTTTGCGTGAGTAGCGTTTAGCTTTTCTACTGCATGTCGTGATGTTAAAGTGCTCTGTCGCTTTTCCTAAGTGATTACCTAGAGGGCATCAGCATTTTGCCCAGCACTGCCCTCCCTGTTTACAGACACAGCCCAGCCCAGAGGTAGGGACTTCCCTGCAGAAGGTAGCAGCTAATCCTAGTGCAGGCTTAGACCAGGTCCTGCGCTCTGGCCCATCAAAGCCCACCCCCACACACTGTTCCCCTCTTGTCCTTGGCTACTATTTCCTTTTCCTTCTTCCCCTGTTCTTGGCCATCTTCCTCCCAATCCCAGTAGATTATGAGAGTGCCATTCCCATGAGAGCAGCCATAGGCAGAGTCAGTAAGAGGTGTGTGCTTCCTGCACTGGGCTTCCAACCTGACAGTTTCCACAGCTTCAAGTGGGCGGAGCCCCTTCGCCTTTGAAGCAGCCAGCCTGCGACTGTGATTTGTAAGCCAAGCAAATACTTCCATCTCTCATGACCAGAGACGTTCTGCATCCCTGCTCACCACTCACCCTGCCCAAGACTCGGAACAGATGATGTATTCTTCTCTTTGCTGCCACTTCCAATTCATTTTTCTCCTTCCTCCTTGCGACTGGTGGCCATGAAGGCTTTTTCTCCATTATTTTCTTTTCTGATTGACCTCATGGTTAAGTAGTAATCTGAGATGTGCACTGATCCTCAGGTCTAGAGAACCCAGTGTATCTGCAGATTTTATTTGCAGGTACAATGCGATGTGGTGAGTGGGTGGGGATGCACACACACAGCCACTGCCTCTCAGGATTCAAGTAAACAACCTAGCAAACTACTTTCTCTGCACACGATTCCAGTTCAGACTTGAGTCATACTCTGAAGTTTTTTTGTGCAAAGACGTGGGCTTTTTCTGACAAACTCTCTTCCTGGAAGATGTTAACAAGCACTGATTACTTGCCTTCCAGGTGTTCAGCAGTATAGATCGAACCACTCAGAATCCAGGAGAAGAGAAGGAAGACTCTGGGGACAAAACCAAAAGCACAACTTTGCCATCCACAGAAACATTAAGCTGGAGTTCGGAATATTCTGAGATGTATGTGAAATGCCTCATGGTGGGATCTTAAGCAGTAGGGACTACAGCAGCAGTTCTGGACAGAGTGGACAGTGAGGGAGAAAGGGAGAGAGAAAGGTCTTCCTTTGCCGTTGGTTCACCCCCCCCCCAAATGGCCGCTATGGCTGGTGCATTGTGCCAATCAGAAGGCAGGAGCCAGGTGCTTTTCCTGGTTTCCCATGGGGTGCAGGGCCCAAGCACTTGGGCCACCCTCCACTGCACTCCCGGGCCACAGCAGAGAGCTGGCCTGGAAGAGGAGCAACAAGGACAGAATCCGGCGCCCCAACCAGGACTAGAACCTGGGGTACCGGTGCCGCAGGCAGAGGATCAGCCTAGTGAGCCGCGGCACCGGCCAGCAGCGGTTCTTAAGCTGTAGTGGGCATCAGAACTACCTGGGGAGCTTGTTAAGAAGCAGAGAGATTGCTGGGCTCACCCAGCCCTGGGATTTCTGATCCAGTAGACCCGGGATGTGGCCTGAGAGTGCATTGCCAGCTGATCCAGGTACCATACTCTGGAATCCTTGTGCCAGGCATGTCTTGGTTAGGCTCTTCCACATCCCATTTTTACCTGCTGTCTTCCACAGTGCCCCGCATGCATATGTATGACTTTCTGTTTTTCATTAAGGCAACAGTTATCCACATCCAACTCTTCGGACACTGAGAGCAACAGGCGGAAACTTAGTTCTGGCCTTCTTCCCAAACTGGCTATTTCAGCAGAGGGGGAGCAAGAGGCAGCTGCCCCCTGCCCCGGTGACCCCCACGCAGAGCCGGAGAAGCCAGCCCTTCCTCCCGAGGAGTGTGCCCAGGAGGAAGCCGAGGTCACCACGCCAGCCAGCACCATCAGCAGCTCCACGCTGTCAGGTAGGCCTGGGGCTGGGCTCGCCAGACCGCGGGTTGGGAGTTTTGTGCTACTGAGCCTGGTGGACAGACTCATGAGAACCGAGATCAGGATGTCTCCGACCCCTGCTTACTGCTTGGCCACAGAGCAGGCCATTCTTGCCTCACTTTGGCCTTGGAGCCAGGCTCCCGTGGCATCCTTCGATGGCCTCAGAGCCTGGCCAGCGAGCCTGTTGTCAGTTGTTGGTACAAAGGCATGTCCTGCAGAGTTGCAGCTAACTCAGAATTTCGAGGAAAGTACAAGATGGTAGCCAGCAAATGGCTTGAGTCACCCGAAAGGTGCAGGGTAAAGCTAGTCTTCCTCTAGCACTAGAAGGGATGCTTGACTCTTCAAAGGAAGGGGCAAGGGATCAGTCTAAACTAGGAGTACCACTTAAATGCATGTGAAATAACTCCCTGTAGACAACTCACCTTCCCAGTCTGATGGTAACCAGGCTGAGAGACTTCTGAGACACCTTTGCCTGCTCGGGAGGCAGTCATGGGGCTAAGGTCTTTGCTTTGAATGCAACTGTGTATGCAGCTGCAACAGTGTCATGGCAGGACAGTTCAAGGGCTTGGCATACCTGCCTGCTTGCTGGCCCTTACACGTAGCCGTGTCCTCATCAGAGATTCCGACTACACTCTGCTCAGAACATGATTTTTACGTGGACTGAAAATATTGTTTCTAAAAATGTGATGCCCAACATATCCTTCCCCAGAACCATGTACATTCATCCTTCTGTAAAAAAACAAAACAAAACAAAAAAATGAATGTGGAACAGAGTTGCTGTAATACATTTCCATTTAGCCACATTCAACATGCTACTGATAACCATGACCAGTCCAGGATTCTCCACAACTTTTTCATGACTGCATTGTCTGTGAATCCATGAAAAGTTCAAGTTTTAGAACGCGTGTTTGGATGTTTCCAACAGTTACTGTGCATGAACAGGTTCAGACTTCAGAGTATTTGTTTCATAAACCACATCTTAGGGACTGGGTATGTTTCAGCCTCACTAAAACATTTGGATCTGTGGAGCTTCACATTCGCTCGCTGATCATCATGGGGGAGGGGGAATGATGCTGCGTTTTCTTCTCTCCCTTCACCCCAGTTCAGCTTCCATGTGGAGTCATTCCATTCATCACAACAAAATGCAGAAATGGCAACCAACCTAGTAGTCCAAGGTTCTCGATCATTCTTAGCCACACTTAAGTACCAGATGAGCTATCAGTATGTCTGTCTGGGTCTTGTTAGCTTACTCTTAATAGAGTATATGCACCTCCATTCAGAATTCACTCATACTATGGTGAACTGTCTACTTTCTCCCAGTCTCTTCAGCTTGTTCGCCATCAGGAAGGGAGGGAGGGAGTGGAGGGGCAGGGTGTCTAAGCATTTGATTGATTACTTTCATAATTAAAAAAAATCTGCCTAGGTCCTGCCATGCATTTTGATTAATAGATACAAACCACCTTTCTCCTCTGTCTCCCCCATATAAATGCTAAAAATAGTCAAAGACCTTTGGGACTGTGCAGAATAAGGGAGATAATCTGGTTTGCCTATAGCCAAGGGTAATTAGGGAATCTGAAAACCATGACTGTAGTAAAATAAAATTTGTTGATTTTTATATTGCTCTGCCATCAAAAACAAAAAAAGAACCCTTGACATTTAGAGAACATTAAGGTGACATTATCCACCATTGGCAGGAAAGCAGCACACATTTCTATGCTGTGCTGTGAGATGAGATGGCAGAGGCAATGAGGAAAGGAAATAAAAACAGAACTTGTGTATCCACACCCTGCCAGTCAGGAAGCACAACTTTTTCATGACTGCATTGTTTGTGAACCCATGAAAAGTCAAAGTTTTAGAACTCGTGTTTGGATGCATCCAACAGTTACTGTGAAAGAACAGGTTCAGACCTTCATTGTATGCTTCTCTTTGGTCATCAAAACCAAATGAGAAAGAAGGAAGTGTGTACCTTCCCTGAGGGAAGCCTGAGGCAGCTTTCATCAAGTCCATCAACAGTTGCTTTCTCTTAGGGAGTGAAATACAGTGTTGAACGAGAATGAGGGTAGCCTACAAGAGTAAGAACTGTTGATCTTTGCCTTAATATTGTCTTCCTTCATTGGGCAGATGGTGTTACATGCAAGTTTATGGATTTTCCTATGCATATAGCGTAGTAGATATTCAGGAAGTATGTTGTACCCACCACATCTCTCTCAAGTCCCAGGCTTCCCTTATCCTGGCTCTAGTGTGTGGTCCAAGCTATCTTCATACCCATGTGTGTGTGTGTATCTATAGATCTATATCTATAGATATATATAGATATCTATAGAGAGGGTGCACAGTGTGACAGAAACATCAGCTACACCAATAGGCAAAAATCCTCCAGTGGTCAGCACTTTATAATGTGCTGCCTGGTCTTTCCAAAGATCATTCATCATGGCGTTAAATGCTCTGCACGCATTGCATATCTTAAGGTGATGATAGACTTGACTCTTAAGCACAAGCAGCTCAAAATTCAGCATTTACAAGTAAAAATAAGCTTTGCCTCTTCTGGATGGACAGAAATGTTCTCAGCGATTTAAAAAAAAAAAACCTGATAACCTGAGAAGAAGCAAGGCAGGAGAAATCCCATGGGTAGCTGCAGAGCATTTCCCTGGGGGCCTCACGGTGTAGCTCCTACCCAAGAACTTAAGTGACTGCAGAGGGCAAAAATAAACGGAAATTGGCGACTTTCTCTGTCCCTACCTACCTGTTTTATACTCATTCTTAATCCACTGCTGTGCCAAGTCCTAATTTTTTAACTTAAAAATAGCTCCAGCTTATAGTAAGCACTAAGAAAAAGGAAAATAATGCAGGTATGGCTTTGAAAGGCTGAGAATTAACTTCTGGGGGGTCAAAACATAGGCCACACTGTCCGGAAGACACAGTGAGCTGTTGCAGCACGTACTGTCCTCTGGCTCGTCATTTGAAATGAAGGAACTTAAAGTCGGCACACAGAGTAAAAAGTCAGAGGTGGCACTTCAGACATGTAAGTTACACACCTGAGCATAGTGCAAAGTGTGCCTTCGGAAGATGGTGGGAGATGGCGCGGACGTAGCCTACATAGAGTGACTAAATGATGACCGTGTGTCAAAATTCTTTTTGGCAGCATTGAGTAGGAAAGCCCTTGGTTCTGTGGGATGGTCGTGGTGTTCACAAGGTAAACGGTGGGGGCAGGAGGAGCCGTGTCTCTGCTTTCCACAGTCTGTGCTGTAGAAACCGTGCGATCTGTTCAGCTGCTTAAATGGAGTCATCAGTGGAGATGGAGTGGAAAGGAGCCTGAACAGACAGACGCCTCTCCCCTCACTGCTTCCTGCACGTCACCTGTCTCAAACCAGCTGTCTGTTGTTTTGTGTTTCCTGACGCTGCGTGTCCTCCCTCCTCTGTCTCGTGCCCTGTCCTGGGTTTTCCTGAACCTGTTTATCCTTTCTTCTCTGTGCAGTTGGCAGTTTTTCAGAGCACTTGGATCAGATAAATGGACGCAGCGAGTGTGTGGACAGTGCAGATAACTCCTCCAAGCCGTCCAGTGACCCTGCTTCCCACGTGGCCCGGCAGCGATTAGAGAACACCGAGAAAAAGAAAGTCTCGGGCAAAGTCACCAAGTCCCTTTCTGCCAGTGCTCTGTCCCTCATGATCCCAGGAGGTAGCGAGATGCGTGCATGCCCGACACGGTGTGATGTGTGCATGTGCTCCCTGCCCCCAGCCGGGCATGCTGAGCGGGCTGCAAGATGGCTTGGAGTGGCCTCGGGGGCTTCTCCCTCGAGCACGACACGTGGCCTGTTCCATCTCACTCTCTGTATCACGGTGACAGAGGCTGCCTTGCCAAGAAGCCTCACCTCGTCTGTCTCCTGTTCTTTCCTCCTTCCAAGCTAAATGATAAATTTCCTCCTCTGAACCGATTTTCTTCCCTGCACTCGCTCATTTATATACTTTGAAGAGCTACACACTGTATCTGTGTTGGAGGGCTTAGTTTCTTTTTTTTTCTCATTTAACTAATGAGGCTAGAGACACAGAGAATGTGAGCTTTTCATTTCTAGAGATGCAAGGTCGCAGGTAGTATTGCCATTGGACAGTTTCCCAACCCTGTAGGTTGAGCTATGCTTCCTCCTACTGGTAGTCCAGTCCTGTTCTGCCCTGTTTTGGAAAACTAGGCTTAATTATGGTCTTATTGAATTGCAGTGTTTTTCCCACAGCTTGGTTTTGCCTCTGCTGATTTCTAAGTCTGTAGTTAATCCCACTGGCAGAGATGAAATACACACCCTGGTGTCTGTGACATCACGAGAGTGGAAGTGGGAATTGGATTGTACTGCGGATGGCTTGCAGTTAGCAGAATACAGAGCATGTAGAAAGACGGTTGTTTGCATTTTCATATTCCATTTTCATGCAGAAAGAAATTAGATCTAAACAAACACTCATTTGGGGGAGTACTCAGTTGTTTCTGGAAGATGTCCCTTTTAGTGCCACAAGACCAACCCTTAGTCCCTAGTCTGAAGGCCTCTTTGTGACTTGAAGGGGGTGGCCCCAGTGCAGCCACACTGAAGGGAAGTTTGGTGTGGTCCTGGCCGCTTTTGAAAGCTGATCAGAGAACCTACCCCTTAGAAGGAGAGGAATGACTCAACGGGAGAAGGTAGGGCAGAGCGCCATGAGATGAAGGATTGGGGCACTTGGATCTCTGTGCGTCCACTCTGTCCTCCTCCATCTCATGTGCTGTGAAGCCTCCTGCCCACCAGGGCACCTCCCTTAACCGGGACACACAAGGTCACCAGCAAGGTGCCACATGAGGTCAGAGTGCAAAGGAGCAAGGACAGTGCTCTTGTTGGCAAAGTCTCAGAGGGGAACGGTGGGTAGTGCGGATCTTTTCAGCTCGCTGCAGCCACAGTCTAAGTCAGCGCACCCTGGCGAGTCCTTGTAGCCTGCCTCCGACTAAGCTCACATTGAAACCTCAGCGTCTTTTGTGGATTCTCCTGCCATTTTGCAGACACGTAACGGCAAGTTACGATCTGTGTAGATGCACATAGGAGCTCTCGTGGAAAATGTCTTAGTCCCTTGCTGCTGCCATGCCATAATACATTAGTTTAGAAGCCACAGCATTTGTTGTCCACACTCCTAGGGGCTGGGAAGTCTGAGAACTGAGTGCCAGTAGATACAATGTGTGGGAGGGCTCACTCCCTGAGATGGCAACTTTGTGTGTTGTCACAGGACAAAGGGGCAAGCCAGCGCCCTCGGGCCTCCGTTCCCATTCATGAGGGCTCCAAGTTCATGACCTCTCTGTCCCCCAAAGTGGCCCACTTTGTAACACCATCCCTTTGGGGGGTGCAGTTTTCAACAAACGGATTTTAGGGGGTCTCAAACATTCAGACCCAGCAGTTTGCTCATAAAACAGGGAAAAAGAGCATAATTGGTGTTTTGGAATATGAACTGAATTTCTCTTAAAATTTTCCATTTCACCTGAATTATCCACTCAGCACTCCTATCAGGATCATTAGAAGAGAATCCATTGTAACCATAGTAATAATGAGGTTTTATCTTTCTTTATAGAGAAGTTACCACTTCAGTATTTTCTTGATTAAAATTCTTTAAGCAATACTAATTCAGTAGCATAAGACAGAGACTGGGGCCGGCGCCGCGGCTCACTAGGCTAATCCTCCGCCTAGCGGCGCCGGCACACCGGGTTCTAGTCCCGGTTGGGGCGCCGGATTCTGTCCCGGTTGCCCCTCTTCCAGGCCAGCTCTCTGCTGTGGCCCGGGAAGGCAGTGGAGGATGGCCCAGGTGCTTGGGCCCTGCACCCCATGGGAGACCAGGAAAAGCACCTGGCTCCTGTCATCGGATCAGCACGGTGCGCCGGCCACGGCGGCCATTGGAGGGTGAACCAACGGCAAAGGAAGACCTTTCTCTCTGTCTCTTTCTCTTCACTGTTCACTCTGCCCTGTCCTGAAAAAAAAAAAAAAAAAAAAAAAAGACAGAGACTGGTGAATTGACAAATTCCTTTCCTGGCCCTGTGTCTTAGAATGAAAAGACCATGTTAAAGTTGTTTAGTACAAGATTTAGAGTCCCACTATCTTTTACTCTAGTACACAGTCTTTTCTGCCAGAGGACATACTTGAAATAGGAAGATTCTTCATGGAGAATGAAATTCAAAGATAAGTTTATTTTGGTGCACAAAACTTTGAAATCCATGCAGTTTTATCATGAAGCGCATTTTCACCACCTTTTGAAGACCCCTTATATGCATGTATTTCAAAAAATTTTTCATGAAAGAAATTCTATTTTCTATATTAGAATTCTATTTTGTACAACTTTTTGAAGTATCTTTGTACATGCATCTGTGGTTTTTCTTTTAATACATTAAATAAAAATACCTCAGCTAGGAAGTAGGTTACCTTTATGTGTTTTTTTAATTAGTGTAAAGAACTAAGAAAATATTGCTTCTCAGTATTAATTGAAAAGCCAGTTAAGATAGAAACACTGTTGAAGAATCCATGCTAGTTATCAGCGTAAACATTCGTGTGTGATTTTTTCATGGGCATGTACTGGAGACGGGTGCATTTGTGTTGGCTGTGCTCACGATCCTGGGAGGACTGCCGGGGGGGGTGGGGGGCAGGCTGCACGGACCTGTGTCTGCAAACGGGCCTGGCACTGACGGCCGCTGTCTCTGTTGCAGACATGTTTGCCGTCTCTCCACTGGGAAGTCCAATGTCTCCCCATTCCCTGTCCTCGGACCCCTCCTCCTCCCGAGATTCCTCTCCCAGCCGCGATTCCTCGGGAGCCTCTGCGAGTCCCCATCAGCCCATCGTGATCCACAGCTCAGGGAAGAACTACGGCTTCACCATGCGAGCCATCCGGGTGTACGTGGGAGACAGCGACGTGTACACCGTGCACCACATTGTTTGGGTAAGCTTAGCAGGCTGTCCCGCTGGACAGCGCCTCCGGTGGCTACAGCAGAGCTAACAGCAGAGCGCCTTCTGCTGAGCCGGCAGTCAAGACCTGTTTAATTTCTCTGTTTTTGTGATAGAACTGAACTAGCAAAAACTAATACTTTCTCAGAGTTCTGTCCAGATTTCCTATTTCATTGTCTACCCTTCCACACCTAGCTGGTCGACACAGTCAGAACCGTCCTGTTTCCATCTTTCTTCATATTTTTATTTCACGATTTTCCCCAGCCTCTAACAAATTACCTTTTCAATTCACCTGAAGTTTTAGTTTGTTAACATTGATTTCAGAGGCAGAGAGACTGCTCTCTCCCTTCAGGTTCACTCCCCAGTTGCCACGAGTGAAAGTTAGGAACTCAATCCAAGTCTCCCATATGGGTGACAGGGACCTGTTCAGCTGGGCTCATCACTGGCTCAGGATTTGCGGCATCAGGAAGCTTTTGAGTCAGAGGTCTCAGTCCAGTGTTGATGTGGGTATCTTAACCTCTAGGCGATACACCTGCCCTGTGCTTTTTAAGGAACCTTAGGAATTAACCTCTTTTAGAACAATGACATAATAGGAAGAATAACCATGCCTTTTTTATTTCCTATGAGCAGCTTAGGCTCATTTGCTAATTAATTCAGAATATTCTGTGAGAAGAAACAGTAGGTATTAGATTTGGCATGTGGTTTTTTTTGTTTGTTTGTTTGTTTGTTTTCACAAATATACACTTTCCTCTTGGGCTTTAGAATGTGGAAGAAGGAAGTCCAGCATGCCAGGCAGGACTGAAGGCCGGGGATCTGATCACACACATCAATGGAGAACCAGTGCATGGTCTTGTCCACACAGAAGTTATAGAGCTTCTACTAAAGGTATTGTCTTATATCACGTGGAGGCGGGTTGCCCAAGGAGCTAGTACCAAGAGGTTGATTTCTCTATAGTACACCTAAATAATCAGTCTCATTACTGATATAATGAAGGTTTAATGTAGACAAAGATATTTTTATTTCTCTTGTTTAAGATCATAAAATAATATCCTTTTATCTGCCCACTCATTCCCATTTTAAATATGAGGAGTCTTCAACAAGTTCATGAGAAATGTGTATTATGAAATACTATGCACGGATCTCAGGAACTTTTGGCACCAAAATATCTTTTAATTCCATTTTACATTAACTTTTTGAAATACTAAAAACAATTCTTTCTATGTGGGTAACTATTTAAGACTCACCTGTAGTAAAAGTGATCTTCAGGAACCATCAGGAGATTTTTCATTGTAGCTGTGAAGACAAGACAGTATAAAACTGACATCCTGTGTGAAGGGTTGGTCTGAAAGCTGAAGTTCTTCTGAAATACAGAATTGTGGAAATACACATATGCTGCAAAGTATGAAAGTAAGGATTCTAGCAATTATTAAGTCTCTCTAGTCCCATGCAAATTAATTTAAATGAGGATCCACTGCTAACTGAGTTATAGACTGAGTAGAGCCCATGGAGTTTAGTCTGAATGGTGAAGAGTGCTGTGACCCAGTTCTCTCAACACTGAGCTTGCTTTGCCCCCTGCTCATTCTTGCTCATTCCAGCATATTCCAGCTCCCATCGTGGATCTTATTAAAAAGAAGAAAGTTCAATCTGAGTGTCATTTTAAATTTTTTTCAGAAGGAGAATTCGTCTACAATGAGAAATGCTATCCCTACTGGTAGGATGACTGTACAAGTCTACAGATTTATGGACAACCTCTTGCTTCTTAAATATTGTGCTCAGTGTGTAAGGGACTACCTCCCAGAGAGATGTGGGCCATAGCTTCAGACCCTACAACATAATTAGGGAGACAAAGCATACACATCTACAAAGGTTTTCAAAATTTCATGGAAATGCATGCATTGTGAAAAAACTATGCATGTATTTCATTTTTTGCACCAGATTTCATTCTATCTTCCATGACTTTCTGAAGTACACCTGTATAAACAAATACATATGTATCATTTTAATTACTGTTTGAGTACTTTTAAAGGCAGAGAGAAGGAGAGACCATAATCTTTCATCTGATAATTCATTCTCTTTATGGCCAGGGCTTGTTCAAGCCGAAGTCAGAAACTCTATCCAGGTCTTCTTCATGGGAGGCAGGGCCGCAAGGTCCTGGGCCATCTTCTGAGTCCCACCTAGGCACATTATCAGGGAGCTGGATTGAAAGTGGAGGAGCTAGGCTGGAACCAGCCCTCTGCTGTTTAATGCATGCATCATTTTAATAATGATCTTTCTAGAGCACTAGCAGATAAGGCAGGGCCCATTGTGGGGATTAGATACCTGGGAATTAGCGTATGGTCTTTGCCCTCAAAAAGTATGAGTGATGTACATCAAAAGAAAAAAAAACCAAGGAAATATTTCTTAATCAGTAGAGGCAGTAGTGGGGGAGGCGTTGCAGGGAAGTGAGTGTGCAAGTACAGTCAAAGGGCTTGCCCCTTCTCTGCCATTTCCCCAGCCCACACAATCGTATTCAGAAGACTCGGAGTCTGGCCTCGGTTCCAGGAGCAGTAAGTAGGGTGGATAGCCAGAGGAACAGTGTTGGAATAGAGAAGTGACCGACTCAGATTACGTCACACCGTCACTGAGACTTTGGTCTTGGCTCAGGCTCCGTGGAAGTTAGTGCTCAATAATTCGTGGGAGGGCCTTCACTTGCTGGCTGTCCCACCGAGGCCGTAGGAGGACAAGCTCCACACAGCTACTTCTGTCGTGGCCATTCAGTTCCGTAGTTAAAAACTGAGATGGGGATCAGCGTAGACTTTTGCTCCATGGCCACTTAGCAGCAACGATAGGCTTGGGCCTAGCACCCCTGTGGATAACACCTGAGGTGGCTGTCTTCAGTCAACAGCTGTCTCTGCTAATGTTCGTCCAGTAGAGATGAACATCTGGCTCAGATCAGTATTCAAGAGACGAGTGGAAGAGCGCGGCTGAGGCTTTGGGGTCCCTTGGCTGTGAAGGAGACGAGATGGCCTTAGACTTCTGAAGAGTCAGGTCTGACCAAGTGCTTCTCCCACTACACTTGAGCCGGTGGTGCTGGTGCCCCGTTAGCCGGCTCACGGAGCCACCCCATGTGGATAAGGACCCAGGGAAGTTTCTGTGTTGTCCTTTGTCTCCTGGGTCAGTAGAGGAGCCTTTCCAGTTGCTAAGGACAGAGTGGCAGGGAGAAAGAGGTACTTACAGTTTCTCAGGTCATCTTTTGGGGCAGTTTCTAGGAGCCAGGTCTGTTCCGAAGGTGAGCTCTTCATTCTCGTTCATCTAAAATAAAACGAGGCTTAAGGTGATTTTAAATGATAATACATATTTTGCCTTCTGCTTTCTTTTTTCCCCCAAAAAAACCTTTTATTTAAGGTATACAAACTTCATGCATTGTAACAGAGTTGTGTTACATGCAGAATAGTATCTCTATGATATCCTAATATCATAGAATCAGGTAAGAAGTGAATGAAATCCGAGAGGCCTTCAGAAAGCTTGTGGAAATGGAATTCAAAGATCATTTTGGCACAAAGATTTGAAATCCATTTGAAATCTACACAGAGTTTTTTTCATAGAAGCCTTTTCCATGAACTTTTTTTTCCAAATATTTTTGCACAAAATAAACTTGTTTAGGTTCGTATTCTGTGAATTTTTTGAAGTAGCTTCATGGGGTTAGAGTGAGAGAAATATGTGTTTATTGCATTTTATGGTGTATTTTCCTGCTTTTAGGAGATGTGAATGTAGCTTTCCCCTAAAGGTCTCTCAGCAGAACCCGCCCCTTTTTCTGCCCTCATTTGGTCCCCAGGCCCTTTCCATGACCGCCAGCCTCTGAGATGCAGTCACTGGATCTGCTCTTGCGGAGCGGAGGTGGGAGCCCCTGGCCCCTCTCATGCTGTGGCGCGCTCTGTCTCAAACCCAAGCAGAGGCGCCTGCCTCGGTTCGCAAAGGCAGCACTCCAGAGGGGTAACTCATGTAGTGAAACAAAGAGTGTACCAGGGATTTAATTATCTTCCCAGTGAACTGTGTAATCACCCAGCTCTCCTCCAAATGCAACCAGTGATTCCCAGGCAGAGACTGAAATGACAAGCATCGCTCATGGGCGCTTATGTGCCGCCCCTGGCTTAACACTGGATAGCAGCGCTACTTTCGTATGCACAGGTGCTGTGTACACAGTGTCCTGTACTCGCAAAGCACTTTCCAGACTCTCACAACTCCCTTGGGAAGAGGTGGAGAAGTCCTCACATAGGGCTGGACGCTTAGAAATAATGTACAATAGGCCGGCGCCGCGGCTCAATAGGCTAATCCTCCGCCTAGCGGCGCCGGCACACCAGGTTCTAGTCCTGGTCGGGGCACCGGATTCTGTCCCGGTTGCCCCTCTTCCAGGCCAGCTCTCTGCTGTGGCCAGGGAGTGCAGTGGAGGATGGCCCAGGTGCTTGGGCCCTACACCCCATGGGAGACCAGGAAAAGCACCTGGCTCCTGGCTCCTGCCATCGGATCAGCGCGGTGCGCCGGCCGCGGCGGCCATTGGAGGGTGAACCAACGGCAAAGGAAGACCTTTCTCTCTGTCTCTCTCTCTCACTGTCCACTCTGCCTGTCAAAAAAAAAAAATAATAATAACGTACAATAATAGAAAGCATTATTTCATAGCTTCACTTTTGGTTTCATTTGCCCTTGTAACTTCAGGGTGAACTTAAAATGGAAAAGCTAACCTCACGCATAGGAGAACTTGCCCAAAGTCCCACAGACCCTGGGCCCATGGAGTAAGCAGCATCACAGTGATCTGGTTCAAATCCTCGTTAAGCCCTGTGAAGCCCCAGCAGTATTCTCTCTCAGCGTGGCTCCACACCATTCCCGCCACAAGGAGTTAGCCACCACCTCTGGACTTGACTCTGCATCAGTCTCTCAAGAGGACGTCATAAATAATCTGCCATCTTTTTTCTCCCACTGTAACTACCAGAGAAGGCCATACTGACCCTGCAGTCCTCCCCACCTGCTTACCTTCTGTCATCAGCTTGCTTTCTTAGGTCAGCATTACATTAAATCCCCACATGCACAAGATGCCTTGAAACTTTACCAGCCCCTGCTTTAGACATTTCCTACCTGTGAACTGGAGGGGAGCCTTTGGATAGTACAATGCAGGCCCTCAATTAGCATCATGACCATCCTCACATACTCACTGAGTTCCTGACATGTTGAGGTTGTGTCAAATACTGCAAGGAGCACAGGAAATGACACACAAAAATAATTGCTAGTGGAGCAAGAACTTGGTACCTGCCAAGCTCTGTTGTGTTGTACACAGTTAACTCATAACTCTCACAGTCTCACTCTGAGTAGATACTATAACAATAAATGGCCCATGTTACAGGTGAGAAAAACAAAACAGAAGTTAGAGCGTCCCACGTCAACACAGATGATCTTTCCCAGGCAGTGTAGCTCCTACAGCTCACTGCTCTGCACACGAAGTCTCTGACATTGGCAGTAACTTCCAGTTCTGTGTTCACTGGGGGTGGAATGGATAGCAGGGTCTGATCAAAGAACCCAACATAAGGTTCAGACCATAAACACTACACAAGTTCTGAAGGAAGACAGGTAGACTGCTACCAAGGTGCACAGGAACTGCACCCAAAAATTGGGTATCTGTAGGGCTTTGCAGAATAGATCAAGGCTCTGTATTTGGAAAAGGGGTACAGGATCTTGTGGAAAAAGTGAGGAGGGGTGGGGGTGAAAGGGCAGGAGACCCCAAGGCATATGAACTGCAGGGGGGGGCAGGGGGAAGGAGCCTGGGATACTGCATGGATAAAGCATGATGGTTGGTGCTCGATAGTGAATGGGGTGACTGTGGGTGTACCAGACATGGAGATGCAGGCCCCACGTGTGCCTTGCAGAGAGAGCAACGTAGAAACAGTTGAACTGGCGATGAGCTACCCAAGGCCAACTTATAGGCTTCCAGAGGGCCACACTGAGAGAAGAAATTGAGGAGCCCCACTCTAGCTCTTGTATTCGGTTCAGCCAGCTTAAAATAATTCCCCTCCCACTGTGCACTAATCACAAAAAGTTTAAGGTACAAGTGAATTAACATTTAAGCAAGACTACTGTTGTTGACACTGTTATTTTTTAAATAAGTGACAGAATTTCTCTGATAACATCTCTTCATGAGTAAGAGACCCCTTAATTGAGGACAAACCAACCCAGTAAGCCACACTGAGCAAAGGGAGCACTTGCTGTAGCTGGATGAGTCCACCAGGTGGCAGGCTTCACAAATCTCACCTATTCTGATTTTTCCGATCTTTTACCTTTTTTTTTTTTTTTTGGACCAGTAATGTTTCAACCTAACTTTTGCAACTGAATTCTCTGACTGCATCTCCCCTGATGGAGGTTATCCTTTGTGCACATAACAAAGCCACGTTAATTGTCTTGTGAAACAACCATATGCAGAAAAGGGAAAACTGGATTTGGGTTTGTAGGGTCAAGGGACACTTGTCCAGAGGTTAGTGACATGCTCTTGTTTAGCCTACGCTAGTCTTTGCTGATTAGAAATATCCCAGATTTGTGTTGATCTTACATAACTTTATGATGGTCATTTCATCTTCATTTCCACTCAATGAGTGCAAACCATGCAGTGTGCCCAGCCCGGAGAGTGAAGCAGACAGGGTGCCCAAAGCGAGGGGGGTTTGGTAGAAGCAGCACTTGGCAGTGGGGATGAAGGGCAGGAGAGTCAGGCTCAGGCTCTTCCACTGTGCTATGACCTTGGGAATGAGCTCATGACCTTGGAAAGAAGAATCTCAGCATCTCTGCAGATAAGGAAAAAATTCCTTCCAAGTTATGGAGGTGAAATCAACAACCCTCTTGACATGATTATGAAAATGGCTTAAAGATGAAAAGGAGCTTTTAAAATGCCAGGTGACATCATTAGCCCCTGAGACAAGGGGTCTTCAAAATGCTCACGGAAAGTGCGTGTGAGATAGACATATATATATATATATACACGTTTGGCGCACCCAAGTAAACTTAATTCCATTTTCCCACAAACTCTTGGAGAAGCTTGGAAATATTCAGATTCATGTGGCTCCTGAGCCCGAACAGCTGCAGTAATCATTATGTCTGCCTGTAGCCCAAGCATAAGGTGACCTCCAGCCACGTCTGCTGCTGCTTCCCTTCACCGTAGGAAAAACTGAAAGCCAGCGTGGCCTCACTCAGTCTGTGCTGAGAAGACCGCACTCCCCAAAACCTTCAGGGCTAGACCTCACACCTCATAAGCTGAGAAGCTGAATTTCCCATTTAAAGAATGACTACAATGTCCATCTCCACTATGGAAGTTTTTGTAGTTGCATACAGAATGCATAATTTAGTCTTTCAGAAAAACCAGCTTTTGTTGAAGTCCAAACTTCGTTTCCCTAAAATATTTCCTGCAAATATGACACAGGTGTGGGATTATGTGTTCCTAAACATATAAGGAACTGTAAAACCAAGAATAAATTATCGACTTTCCAATGCTAAGCTAGATGTAAGACATGAGCCATGAACAAGTCATTCTCTAAGGAACTACAAAAAACCACAATAAATCAGAGGTAACACCAACAGAATCAAACAATGGAAAATAGCAGCATGAAAATGGCTAAATTCTGATGCACCCATCTGGTGGAAGACACTCATTAGGCAACTTAAAAAAGTCACGTTCTTAAAGAATAATAATGAAGGGAAAGCGTTTCAAAATTATATCACGTGAAATATAAAACTGTAAATGCAGTGCTACTGAAAGATTATCAGTGATAGCTGGGTGGGTAGGTTTCTCAATTATTTTTATTATGCTTTATAGGATTTTTTTTCCTATAAAGACATGGATTCCATCCCAGAGCAGGGAGGGAAAGTGGGTGATGTCCCAGCATCACTCCCACTTCTCCAGTCCCCCGCACCCACTGTAACTCACTCACCGTTGCTGGGTACGAGGGGAACTGAGCTGCGGGACGTGGTCCAGGGCCCCGGCCCTCAGAGAAAGCCCTTCTCTGAAAGGACCCATTTCTCTCCCAGTTAGGACACAATTCCAGAGGAGGTCCCTGAGGCAGGGCGACTGTCCGTCCATGCTGCAGGCCCCACCCTCAGCCCGGCCCCCGGGGTCTGCCTCCGGAGCCCCCTGCTCCAGGGTTGAGTGACAGGCCACAGAGGACTGACCTCACCGTGTGCGACCTGCCTCAGGAGGGAAAACTTAGCAGCTCTGCATGCCGACAGATTTTATGGGAACAGAAAAAGGAAGCTTTTACAATAATTAAAGCTAAAAGTCTCATTCAGTTTTGCTCCTTTTATAATTTCTAGGCCAAAGGAAAAACATAAAAGGGAGAAAAAAAAATAAAATAAATCAAGCCAGAGCAGACAGCCGCGGGGCGTGTGCAGCCTGATGCATATGGATGAAGATAACTGTTATTTATAGGACCCGTTCCATGTGTCACACTCGGGGCTGAAGGCGCCATCAGCCTCCTCTCATTTCATCACCCCGCCAGCCCTGGGAGGAGGCGGTAGAAGCATGCTGCTGGCCAGTACCAGAAGCCGAGTCATAGCAAGGGCAAGCAGCCTGCCTGCCCAGGTGGGAGTGTAGACTTGAACTCAGATCCAGGGGCTCCGGAGTTCACCTCTTCCAGAAACCTCCCATTTCGCATGGTCAGGACTCACTGATTTGAAGTTACTTAGGGATGGCAACCTTTTATAAGTTCAGTGTGCGCCTATCTGCTTCATCTTGGAATCTCGTACCTCGGTTCATCACAGCTTTTCCCTTTAATACCCACTTCATCTTCTTCAACAGAGTGGAAATAAGGTGTCAATCACTACTACCCCATTTGAAAACACATCAATCAAAACAGGACCAGCCAGAAGAAACAGCTATAAGAGCCGGATGGTGAGACGGAGCAAGAAATCCAAGAAGAAAGAAAGTCTAGAGAGGTTAGTTAAAGCAGTGTTTCCTGGTTGCTACCCACCATGGACAAAGGTGATTCCCTGCTTCACTTAGGTCTTCCTCCTGTGTAAGCATTTATTTCTCTCTGGGAAACGTTAGGCTGTGCTCCATAAATTTCTATATTAAAGTTCCTATTCACAACAGCATTAACTTTCCCAGGGAAAGGATTTACATATTTCCTTGGGAAGAGAGAGAGAGAGAGAGATTGCCTTTTAGCACGCGCGAGCACCATGCAGAACCTTTTTCAAGCCCTAGACTTCATTTCAGTGGACTTGCGTGTGAAGACCCAGACCTGAAGGCAGTTAAGTCCACATTTAACAGGTCCCTTACATTATTGAAAAACAAGCACTTGGTATTTTTTTTAATGCTCAATATGCTGACATCACAGCATCTCTAAGGCTTCTACATGCGCCTAGAAATAAAAGGGCATTGTTGGACTGACGGGAAGCCCAAGGAGGCCACAGGCATTTGCAGCCCGAGATGCACAGAGCTGCAGGTTTCTGTGCTTTGGGCAGATACTAACAAGACGCCCGCCTGTGCCTGCGGCAGGGGAGTGTCTTGCCAGGCAGTTCTGATGCGCCTTCTGCTCGGTGTCGCGGCCTCTCCTTTTCCGGCTGGGCCTTGGTGCATCTCCTCGTGTTAAGAGGATTTCTAACGATAGAAATGAAGCAAGCCCAAAAATGGAAGAACTCCACGAAAACAAAGTGATGCAGAAAAGACACAGAATTATGCTGTACATGGCCTAGCTGTGAACAGCATTTATGATACAAAGCACCAACCACACCAAAACCATTTTTCTAACCAAAAGTTTTGGCTTGGCTATACAGGGAGGAATAGACAAGGAGAAGCGGATGTGCCTGGAAGGTAGAAAAGGGTGGTGGAAGAGCTTAGCTCTCTTCTCCCATACTAGGAAATACACAGTTTCTAAAAAACGGTGGTGTAAGTACATTGTTTTAGCAATACGCTGACACTAGGAGGAACAGGATTTTCTGGGGAGTTGAGAGAGAGCAGAGTAGAGGAGGCACTATTTTTCATTCTAAGGTTGTAGAACTGTTTGACTTTTTAATGCAAGTCCATTTATTACTTTGATGAAAATTACACACCCAAGTTCTGGGATCCCTCTCTTTTTGGTTGTGCCTTCTATTTTGATTGTGTTTTAAGTCACATAGAATAAATTGGCTCAAGGGGTACCGGGATCCAACTTTCTGTTTAAGCTCACCAGAGGCAGATGTGCACAGCCACATGCACCGACAAGTCACGGAAACCGTGCTTTTTGGGAATCAGAGAAACGGAAAGGACTCCTCAAATACGCACAGTGGCCAGGGCCAGGCTAGACCAACGCCAGGTGCTGGCAGGAACACAGTTAACTGAGCCATCACCATCCACTCCCGGAGTCTGCATTGGCGGGGAGGTGGCATGAGGGGCTGCAGGGAGATTTGAACCCAGGCACCCCAGGATGGGATGTGTGTTTTCACTGGCTTTTTAACCACTCGGCTAAATGCCGGCTCAGGATGCACACTGACTTTTGTGGCTGCTTCCAGCATCTGTCTGTCCATGGGATACACTTTAGCCTCAGCTTTCTGGGCGTTTCCTATGTATATGTAGAGCCAGCATTAGTCAGGAGAATTTAGGAGCCCACAGTGGAGTAAGTGCAGCAAACAGCCCTTCCTAGAAAAAGCCTCTGCCACTGTGTCACCGTTATAACGTATAATCCAGATCTTACCTTGGATTATCTATGCAATTGAGGCAGGTCATCAGCAGCTTTCAGTCCAAGGGCGCCTTCCTTCAAAAGCTAAACACGTCAATGAATAGCTTTGTCATGGAACTCAACGCACCTGTTAGCGGCTGGTCCTCTCCAAGTCGCAGGAACACTCTTGCTGCCACAGTGGCTCCTGCTCTCCCACCACCACCCCGACACGGCCACTGAGCTGCCGTTAGGGGGCATTGGCCGGGGGCGGGAATGCTTCCGGAAGTGGACTCTGCTCACTGGCTGCCCTATTTTCCCTCCAGGAGGAGATCGCTTTTCAAAAAGCTAGCCAAGCAGCCTTCCCCTCTGCTGCACACCAGCCGAAGTTTCTCCTGCTTGAACCGGTCCCTGTCCTCGGGAGAGAGCCTGCCGGGTTCGCCCACGCACAGCCTGTCCCCGCGCTCGCCCACGCCCAGCTACCGCTCCACACCCGACTTCCCGTCCGGTGAGTGAGTCTCCGGGTGTAGACAGCAAGAGAGCTGAGAGCAGGCGAAATCATCAACTGAGGTCCTGGAAGACACTCAGTGTCTCCCAGGCTGCAGGAACAGGCAGCACCTGTAGATGGCACAGACCGGAATTAGCGGGAGGTCTTTAGAGGGGGTTATTCTGCTCCCTTTACATACGACATGGGGGATGGGCTAAGCCTGGGCATAGGGAGGTTTCATAAACAGTGTCTATTGCATTGGTTCGAGGCTCGGACGAGGGGCTGATCCTTTCTAGCCTCACCTCAGACAGCCTGGACTGGAAGTGGGACGAGTACAGGGAAGATGAACCTGGGTCCTCACAGCCTCGTTTTCCACCCGCAGGCACTAATTCCTCCCAGAGCAGCTCCCCGAGTTCCAGCGCCCCCAACTCCCCAGCGGGGTCCGGGCACATTCGGCCCAGCACGCTGCACGGCCTGGCCCCCAAGCTCAGTGGGCAGCGCTACCGCTCCGGACGCCGGAAGTCAGCCGGCAGCATCCCCCTGTCCCCGCTGGCCCGGACGCCTTCTCCGACTCCGCAGCCCACCTCGCCTCAGCGGTCACCGTCCCCGCTGCTGGGACACTCGCTGGGCAGTGCCAAGATGACGCAAGCCTTTCCCAGCAAGATGCACTCCCCTCCCACCATCGTCAGGCACGTGGTGCGGCCCAAGAGCGCCGAGCCCCCGAGGTCTCCACTGCTCAAGCGGGTGCAGTCCGAGGAGAAGCTGTCGCCTTCCTACGGGAGTGACAAGAAGCACCTGTGCTCCCGCAAACACAGCCTGGAGGTGACGCAGGAGGAGGTGCAGCGGGAGCAGTCCCAGCGGGAGGCGACACTGCAGAGCCTGGAAGAGAGCGTGTGCGACGCGCCGGCCCTCAGCCGTGCGCGGCCCGTGGAGCAGGGCTGCCTGAAACGGCCTGTCTCCCGGAAGCTGGGCCGCCAAGAGTCCGTGGACGACCTGGATCGGGACAAGCTGAAGGCCAAGGTGGTGGTCAAGAAACCAGATGGCCTCCCAGAGAAACAAGAATCCCACCAGAAACCCCCTGGCCTCCGTAGCGATTTGGAAAACCATGCTGTTTCCCGGCTGGAAGAGAGAGAGAAGAAAGTCTATCCCAAGGGTTTAGAAAGATCCACTCATTTCGAAAGCAAAGCCATGGGGCCAGAGGCCCCGGCCCTGGGCAGCCTGCTCAGAGACGCGCTACACAAACAGGCCAGCGTGCGGGCCAGCGAGGGGGTGGCCATGGACGGGGCACCCAGGGAGCACAGCCAGGACGCAGAGGACTCCAAACGGGCCCTTGCTGCTGGCCCCCTGCAGGACACTCTCTGTCCCTCAGCCGACAGGGCCACCTCCTCTGGGCGGGCTGAGAACACGGAGAAGGGTTCCCAGGCCAAGGAGCTCCTCCGTGGCGAGAAGCTGGACAGCAAACTCACCAATATCGATTACCTCCGGAAGAAAATGGCCATCGAAGACAAGGATGACAGCCTCGGGCCCGCGCTGAAGCCCAAGGTGACATCTAGCACCCACGAATGCCTGCCAGGGACCCCCGGCCGACCAGTGAGTGGGCAGCAGGAGACCCCGATGGCCACCGCCGAGAGCCGGGCGTTCATCAGCAGCACCCACGCCGCTCCGATGAGTACCGTCTCCTTTGTTCCGCTCAAGGCCTTAGCCGGCCGAGTGGACAGTGGAGCGGAGAAGCAGGGCTCGGCGGCTCCCGAGTCCCCGGTCAGGAAGAGCCCCTCCGAGTATAAGCTGGAAGGAAGGTCCGTCTCGTGCCTGAAGCCCATTGAAGGCACTTTGGACATTGCTCTCCTGTCTGGACCCCAGGCCTCCAAGACAGAGGCGCTGTCCCCAGAGTCTGTCCAGAGCCCCAGCCCGACTGGTGACGTGGGGCCCTCTGTGCCACCAGGTGTCCCTGGTGGCGGCGAGAGAAAAGGTGAAACTGCAGGTCCCAGGGAGCCGTCCCCTGCCAGCGTAAAGGTGAGTAAGGCCTACCTGCTGGAGCCTCGGTTCCTGCCGCCCAGCTGGAGCCTCCAGACCTCACCTGGAACCCCGCTGCCCGAGCCAGACCTAAAGCGGGACAGGAAGGTTTCCCGCCTGGCTGGCAGGAGCCCCGCGACAGTCACAGAAGGGGATACTCAGCAGCGAGACGGTCGCCCCACCCCCACCGACACCAAGCTGTTCCCGTGCCCTGCGCAGAGCCTGCAAGGCACCAACCCAGCCAGGCCGCCGGGGCCGCCTCTTCCCGAAGGGGTCCCCTCCAGGGAGAAGCCGGGCCCGAGGGAACCAGCTGAAAGGGGTCCTTCCACAGCCAGAAGCGAGCGGCCCGCCTCCAGGGCTGAGGCACCCAGGCACCCCTCTGGGGAGCTGTGTCCCCCAGCTGCTAAATCCAGCGACAACTCCCCCAGTCAACCCTCTGCGGCACGGACCTGCCCGGATTTGCACGTGCAGAGCCCGGCCCTGGAGAAGGCGTCGCTGCGGCCTTGCAGGAAAACAAACCCCAGGGATGGCCAGGATGAGGACAGGCTGCTGCCCAGGGAGGAAGCTTCCTCCTACTTAGCTGGGACTTCTTGCAACAAGGAGCCGGGCAAGGTCAGAGGCTGCCTGGAGCCCAAGGCTGAGGCCGCCCCTGCCAGGCACTGTCTACAGACGCCTGCAAGTGACAATGACAAGAAAGAAAAGCTCGCCGGTGTCCTGTGTTTGCAGAAGGACAGCCCCAAGGAGCCCGAACGGAAGGAGCAGCCTCCGCCAAGGCCTCTCAACAGCAGCCCTCAGCCCCCACTGCCCACCAAAGACACGGCCCTCCTGACCACAGGACAGCCCGGCAGCTCCCCAAGCCACACCTCGGGTAGAGAGCTGGGGACCAAGCCCGCCGCTGCAGAACCCAGGCCAGGCCTCCAAGACCCTCCCAAGCCTGCCTCAGTGCACAACGAGAGCAGTGGTCACAAGCCCCGGCCTGGCCCTGAGCCCAGCCCTGCAAAGTCACAGCACCCAGACAGGTCCCTGCCCTCCGTGAAACTTAGCGTCATCGGGACTGCCCAGGGCAAAGAGCCTGCCTCTCGGGCCCTCACCAGCTCTGGCAAGGAAGGCAAGGCTGCGCCGGATGCGGGCACCGCCATCCCGGGCGCCCAGCACAGAGCCTGCACTGTGGTTGTGCAGGGAGCAGGTGGGCCCTCCAGCTCCCTGCAGACCGAGGGGGGCCAGCCAGACACCAGGCTGCAACCCCAGAGTGGAGGGCGGCCCCCGGAGGCACTGGAGAGGCCTGCTCAGTGCCCCAAGCAAGGACACCTGGGCCTCCACCAGCCAGCAGACCCGAAGCTGCCCGCTGCCAGTGACAAGCCAGGCCTGTGTCCGAAGCAGCCCAAAGCAGCCACTGTGAAAGACTGCCTGGCTCCCTGCAGGCAGACAGAAAAAAGCTCCAGCCCGCCAGCCCCCGAAGCGAAGAAAGTCCCAGAAGCACTTTATGCGCCTGCAGACAGCAGCAAGCCCGAGACAAGCCTGTCCCCTGTCCGCACCGAGAGGCCCACTGCAGGGGCAGGCAAGGGCGGCCCAGAAGCGAGGGGAAAAGGCAACACTGCCCCGAAGGCCCAGGCTGAGGCCGCCAAGCCTGGTGGCATCAAGCGGTCGCCCTCGGCCTCTGGCCACAGCGCTCTGCGCTCCTCTGCCCTGCCAGAGAAGCCGCTGAGCTCCTCCTGCAGCTTCCCGGAGGCCAGGCCCACCAGCAGCGACCCTGCTCCCGCCAAGGCCAGCACGGGCACCAGCACCTTGGAGCTCGCCATCCCCAGCCACAGGGACCAGCGCAGGGCCCCAGCCGGTGGGGACGGCAGAACCCACATGACCAAGAGCGACTCCCTGCCCTCCTTCCGCGTCTCCTCCATGCCCTCGGAGCCGCATCACCCGGAGCCCAGCGTGTCGGACAGAGCCAGCCCCCGGGACCGGGACCGCGACCGGGACCGCGCGCCCTCGGTCACCGCTGCGGCTGGGGAGACCAGGGCCAGCGAGCCTGCGCCCGCCAGGAAGCAGAACGCAGGCAGAGAGGCTGCCAAGCCGGTCCCGGCCGCCAGCAGCGACCGCCCCATCGCCCTTTCCTGCGAGAAGGACTTTGTGGTGCGGCAGAGGCGGGGGAAAGAGAGTTTGCGCAGCAGCCCACACAAAAAGGCCGCCTAAGGGGCCGGGGGCGCTTTGCCTGCCTTCCCAAAGCAGCGCTGGATGGGGGGGTTGGGAGGGGCGGCAGGGGACCGCTTTCCAGATGCCTTCCCGATTGGAACCGAGAAAACTGCTACCGGAGAGTGTGCAGAAGACAGCTTTGCACGAGTTGTGGAGGAGAAAGAGCCCTGTAAATATCTAGCCACGTGTCTGGTTTGGGGTGTAGAGTGTATACCTTGCTGCTGATGGCGTCGTCGACGACAGCCCTCCCCGCCCCCTTCTTTTTAAATGAGATCTTGGCTTTAGCATTTATCATGATAGAATGAAGATGGTCAGAACCGGGTGTATGTAATAAAGGGATACATCCATATTCGTGTATATACACATCCGTTGAAGAGGGTATTTCAAGGCTCCATTTTTCTAAGCTCAAACATTAACTAGAGGTAAAGGTGGAAGGCCTGAAACAGAGTAGATTGTGAGTTTTTACGTGGATGTTGAACCGGAGTTTCTGATAGCACTGTATCTGGCTACCTATCTTTCCAGGGCCAAAGCAGGAGCCACTCTGAGCACTGGTCTGGAGTCCTCCAGGGACAAATGGAGCGCTAAGCAATTGGCAGCCGTCTTGACGGACACTTGGACCGTGGGCCAAGTTGTCCTTGTCTGCAGCTGTGTGTCTGGTCTCCCCCTGAGGCAGGGCAGGGACTAATCCAACCCGTGTCAACTTCATTTCTGTTGTCTTTCTCTCGCTTCAAGTTCTTAAACTCAGGCCTTCACGCTGTGAGCGACTAGCGCAAGAAGCACACATTTCATAGCGGCCCCTCCCGCCAGCCCTGCCGTTGAGTACACAGGAAGGTGACCAGCCGCACACAGCTGCTAGTGCTTAGGTGGAGTAATAGCATTGGGCATTGGAAGAGGTTTTAAATTGGCTTTTTTTTTTTTTTTTTGCAGAAAGAATGGGGGGCGGATTTTTGGCATCACAGCATATATATTAAGGAATAATCAGGACATCGGATACATTTTAGTACATAGCTGGGGCCTTATGTTGTAGATGAAGCTTGCTGTTTTTAGCAAGTTCCTGGGTTTCACATTCTTTTCTGATGCATCGAGTAGCTCCATACATTTCATAACATGATCTCTTTATTTGTATGCAAAAAACCACTGTAATAAAGAGCAACATTTTTGTAACAAAGAGACTTGTTGGAGCTACTTGGTGCTTGAATGTGACCATCCTTTTTACTTTTGCTAAGCCTTATTTAAATTTTATATACCGTAAAATATGTAGAATTTGTCAAATCATTTTAGCTGAGGGGTTTTGATTTTTTTTTTTTTGGCAGTTTTTTGGTGGCTTGTTTTGTGCTGTCAGATAACGCTTACTGACATAAGTACCAAGGCACTACGAGAAAACACAGATAAGTTTAAGATGCTTGGGATCCACCCCTGGATTTTATTTTGTTTTATAAGAAAAAAAAATGACCAGTAAATAACAAATGCAGCACCCAAAGTCCCTCAAGGATGTCTTAGTATCTTTTTGCTGTAAACTTGTTTATCCAAGCACAGCGTCGTCTTACAGCCTGTGGATTATAAATCATCGAGCAGAGCTGTAAACGCCGTTCCAAAGACAAAGGCATAACTCAGTTGTCCTTTGTTGTAAAATGAGTTGGTGACGGCAAAAAAAAAAAAAAAAAAAGAACAAAGTGTCCTCTTCTTTGCCTCCGATTTTTTTTTTTCATGTGGTTTTAACCATTCCCCATCACTACCATGTGAAAGTGTAGAAGAAACAACTGTTTTACCAGAACCTCAATGACTTTCAGAAATGGTCTCAACATTTATAATACGTATCTGTGTTTGGCGGTCATTAGAATCCAATTCTCCTACACTCAGACACTGAGACAGGTCTGTGGGGGAGGTAGGTCATGGTTTACAGCCTTTGCTTTTTTTTAAGTGTCCAGTTTCCTTTAAAGCACAACTAGCTGCTTGTTTACAAATGATATTTTTATGTATATTTTGTATAGTGTATTATCATTTCTGCCAAATATGTTTTTGCATTTTTTGGATGAGTCAAGAGTACCTAAGATTGCATTCATGTAATACTTGTTTGTTGTTGTAAACCTCTCCAATCAGCTGGTAGAAATTCTCCCGTGTTCTGTTTGGTCAGTCTCCGTGTGATTGTAAGATGTGCTCCTCTGTAGTACTCCAGCTGTAGATTTACCAGCTTAAAAGTTTGTTAGGATCTGTGCAATAAAGTGTTTGCAGTCTTATTTTCTCTAAGAAATTCCCTATGGATGTCATCATTGTTGTACATTGAATAAATATTTATACTTATGCAGTTGCATAACATTGAATAAAAATTTAGCATGAAAGACAATGGCTGGTTTTTCCAATATACACATATACCTCCAAAAATATAGAGTATTAGCCAATCTTACTATGAAAAGTGTGGGCTTTTGCAAATTGACAGAATGATTTTCTGTTGCTCGGAATGATTTTTTCTAAAAACAGTCCAGTCTTCAAAATAATCTGGCTGCTTCCTGTTTTTCCTGCCAACCTTATTCCTCGCCTGAAGAACAACTTCCACACGCACACTCACCAAGTTCCCTACAAGCTCAGAGGTGGCCTCTGCCTGTGGTCTGCCTCCCCACATGGCCTTGCCCATTACCAGCGTCAGAGAGCCCTTTCCCTACCTCAGCTCCCAAAAGGACAGCCTGTGCTTGGCATCTCCCGTCTTCATATCACTTCTCACTCCACTGAAATCTGGCTTCAGGTCACCATTCCGTCAGCTTTGCTCTGTGAAGGCTGCCAGTGACACGTGGTTGACTGAGGCCCATTCTTCAAGATATCACCTAGGGAGACCATGTGCCCCTTGAACACCAGTCCTCCCTGACACGCCTCACTTGCAGTTTGCTCCCACCTTCGTTTACGTGTTCTGGGAACGCCTGCTTCCTCCTTGTCCCCTTAAATGCTGACAGTGCCCAGGGTTCACTCCCGGCCTCTCTATCTCTTTCTGGGCATTTCCACTTGATTCCTCCACCTCACACTCAAACACTGCTGTGTTTCCTTTCCTCAAATCACACTGTGTTCTTCATCTTCCCTCCAAGCCAGATGTAAACTCTTTCTCCCATTACATTTGAAAGGTCAAGTTCATTGATTTTGCAAAAACATTCTTCTATGCAATCCATTCCCTTTCTTGGCACCAGTAGCCTTAGTTTATTCTCCATCATGATCTCCAAGAATAACGCAATAGTTGGCTAACTGGTTCCCTGCCTCCACCCTTTATCCCTATCAATCAGTCTGTTCTTCCCAACATCCATGGAGAGATGTTTTGCAAATGCAAGCATCCCATGTTCCCACCATGTGTTAAACCTGAAAACAGCTCCCATACTCATTCTATGGTATAAGACCATCTCCTTAATCATGCTTTTAGCCTATGAACCCATTTTCCCATTGGTCTAACAAAATACCCAAGGCTGTATATTTGATAAAGAAATTTATTTAGCTCATAGTTCTAGAGGCCAAAAGTAACCCCTTGTGTTTGGCTCCTGGTCAGGGCTTCATAGCAGACGTGCAAGAGATCATATGGCCTGCCTGGAAGCCAGCAGAATTCAGGGGGCAACAACACTCTCAACAGAACTAAGTGGGGTCCTGAAAGAACATTAGTGCTTTACCAATGTGACCTCAGCACATTCCCTGAGGTCTCACCACCACAACACTGCTCCACTGGGGGCCCAGCTTCCAGCACCGTAGCTTTGGGGGAACACACTGAAACCATACCCAGAACCTAGCAGCCTGGGTAACCATAGTTCCGCAAGTATCTACACGTATCTACAGGAAGTCATGCCTACACTGACTAGGGCTCCTCCTTCGTAAGACTTTATTTTGGAATTATCTGTTTCTGTGTGTCTGTCTTCCCTGTTAATCTCCAAGACCCCTGAGTATCCCATTTTTCAATCTAAAAAATGTTTTTAACAGATATATAACGTTTGTACCTAACTATGGAATACTATGTGATGTTTTGATACATATGCACATTGCTTGATATCCAATCAGGGTGAATAGATCTATATCCTCAAACATTTAATATTTATTTATGGTGAAAACAAAAATCCTATCTTCTACATTTTTAAAAGTTGTTATTTTTTTGTTTTAATTGTATTTGAAAGGCAGAGAGAGAAAGAGTTCCCGTGTGCTGGTTCATGCCCTAAGTGCTCACAATGGCCAGGGCCAGCCAAGCTAAAGTCAGGAGTCTGGAACTCCCATATGGGTGGCAGGAACCCAATACTTGGGCCATCACCTGTTGCTTCCCATGCACATTAGCAGGAAGCTGAAACCTGGAGGGGAGCTGGCCCTGGAACCCAGGCACTCTGCTATGGGGTGTGGGTGTCCCAAGTGACATCTTAACTGCTTTGCCAGTTTTTTTCTTGTCAATAAGAGAAATGTAGGCTAGCGTTTATATTCGCCCTGCCGTGTACCAGGACTCCATGTTCTGGTTTGTTTCTACTTCTAGGACGAAGCACATGGGAGACCTGAATAATTATTTACTGAACTGAACAGAAAGGAAGTGTTAGTAGTGGCTACTGTTTGTGGCAGGTGTATCAGGAGCCAAGTCTCACTTTATCCTTGATGCGCATCTTCTAACTTAATCTCTATGCCCTTTGAGCTCTATGTTGCCTCGCTGTATAAATTGGGAAAAATCAAGATTCAGACAGGTTAAAAGACTAACCCTACTGATTGCCAGGACTGGGCTTTGAGTTCCAGTCATGTGACTAGACAGCCCCCGGACTTCATCTCTACCATGAGAGAGGACTGGCCTCTTGCATCACTTTCTTCTATTGCAGGTTACAAGAAGAATGGTGACAGCATCACAGTATTGTGATATTCAGGACATAGTTTTCCCCACTTAGAGGAACTCATTCTAAGATTCGTATTTGTTAAACTGATTATGGAAATTATCATGGTAAGGCTTGATATCATGCTATGAAGGGAATTCAAGCTTTCACCACAGCAAAAACTCACAAGATATATTAAATACACATATCTCAGAGCCAATCATAGCTCTAGACATTTAACAACCAGTTCAGAACTAACACATAAAATTAACAAGACAAAGTTAAAAGCATTTACCTTCGGCAAAACTGACATTCCAGTTGCAGACGATAGACAGTCATGCTCTTGGAAATCTAGTTACTCAGACATAATTCTTTTTTAAGATTTATTAAATTGGCAGGCAGAGTGACAGAGAAGGGGAGAGAAAGAGAAATCTTCCACCTGCTGGTTTACTCCCAAATACCTACAACAGCTGGGGCAGGACCAGGACTGTAACTAGTAGCCCGAAACTACATTCAGGTCTCTAAAATGAGTGGTAGGGGCCCAAGTACTTGGACCATCTTACCCTGCTTTCTCAGGATCACTAGCAGGGAGCTGGATTGGAAGAGGAACAGCTGGGACTTAACCTGGCTCTCTGATATGGGATGCTGACAATCACACGTGGTGACAACCCATTGTACCACTATGCTGACCCCCATGCACAATGTCTTGTACTATATTCTCAACATCTACAAGGTATTTTTAAAGCTTACTTCATATATTTTAATGCAGAGATGGTTAAATATGTGTTTGCAGTATAATATTTTCCTAACAATGAAGGGTACATTTTTTTCTTTTAAGCTTGAAACACTATGTTTAATAAATCTCTATAACTAAATAGAAATAAAGTGGGATATAGCCTACAGAAATGACTAATTCTCTTTTGGAATGCAGTTTAGGTGAGGGGGACCAGAGAACTTTTGCCCCAGAGACAGGAATTAAGAAGAAATAATATCAAATTTTTAAAAATGCTACACTAACCTTCCCATGCCAAGCAGTCACACTGGGCACTCAACAGCGAAGCACCTTGTAGCTACAAGAGGAAAAGGGGCTGATGTGACAGCTTCAGAGGACACGCATTGCAACTCCAATGTACACGTGAATCGTGTGGGCAACTTGTGGACTCGGAATCCGAAGCCTTGAGTGAGATCCAAAATTCCAAATCTAACAAACTCTTGACTCATAAAAATGTGGCCTGCCTGACCAAAGTTCCAAGGATTTGGCCCAGGCATCTGTAGTTCAAAACAAAACAAAACAAAGTAAAACCACCTCTGTATTGCCTGAGGTGGTTCCAATATGCAGTCAAAGTGAAAAGAAAAAGCAGGAGAAACTCCCCAGCCAGAGGCTGACATTGCTTAACGCCCTCCTCTACTTCCATGTGAAGCTATTGACAACAGATCTTTAAGAAATGGCCCGTAGCACTGTTGGTCCAGATACCCTGGACTGTTTCTCACTCAAAGCATGGTTCTCTCACCAGCACCATCTGTACCACCCTTGAGTGTGCTAGAAATGCAGAATCTCAGGCCCCAGCCAAGACCCACTAGTTTTCTACATTTTAGCACCATAGCCAAGGTATTTGCCCATCAAAATTTAGGGAGCACTATTTTCTCAAACTTCCTGGAAGAAGAGTTACTTGTGGTATTTGTTAGAAATACACATTTCAAGGCTTCATCCCAGAGCCACTCAGAATCTCTAGGGACATGGGTTTATCATCAGTGGATGGAAGAGGTAGGTAAGTCTTACCAAGAAGCCGTGGTAAACACACCGCCAAAAATTCTCTAGAAAATACGTTTTGTAAAAACTGCATGGATTTCAAATTTTGCACCAAAATGAACTTACCCTTTAATCTCAGCTTCCATAAATTTTTGAAGTACTGTTGTATTTCCTCTTCCCTAATGCATAGGAAAATTATATAGTACTAAATCACTAGTTTGATTGGTAGAAAAGTATAAGCAAAGGAAGTTAATCGCTCTAATAGGGTTCTTTTATTAGCTCTAATTAATCAGAAGGCAATTTCCCATCTGTGTTCTCGGTTCACAACACAAATACAACTTGAAAAAATATGGCTATATTAACTATGGAAATTTGCTTCTTTCAGCATAGTCAAGCATTACAGAATTCTATGGTAGAGCAGTTCTCTAAATTTAATTTCCCTCCTACTCATTTCTAAAACGTTTTGAGTGATTCCTCTTTCTCTACCCTCCACTCTGGTTAATACTGTACACGTCGCACATCTCTAGAAAAGCCAGAGATGACCAAGCCTTTGTTGAAGGCTGGATTTTTTTCGATGTTAAAAGCCAATCACTCTGGCCCAAGTTCAAGTTCTATGGAAGTTCAGACACATTGGATCTTGGACTGGAGTCATTAGTACCAGTCCTCATAGGACAACACACAATAGAATCTCATTGAATTCTAGGACTGTGTATTCTAAGTGACAAGATCATCTCATAACTTCAACTGAT